TCATCACTTTGGTAGGAATCAATCACGAAATTTTAGAAAAAATGGGCGAAGATCAACAGTTTCTAGCAGTTTTTCAGGTTCCTGATTCAAAATCTGGAAAAAGAATGAAAAATCAGGCCGTGAAAGAAACTATCGAATCTGGAATTTCAGACCAGAACAAGCAGTTGCCGGAGCAACCGTCCCCAACCGCCGTGGACCCGTTGGCGAAGTTGGCTACACTCGCAAAAGCATCGCCAGCGCAGTGCCAACCGCAACCCTGAATCTCTCCATCGTGGTGCACCGCCGGCTGTATTTCAGATCCAGGGAAGGCAAGCTCCACAAGTTCTTCCCTTAAACCAGATCCATAAGGGCATGGGAGCACTCAAGTGCGTGCGGTGGCGACCGGAGAAAGCCAGACCCAGACGGACAAAGGTCATGACAGCTCGCTCCTCCGTCGCAGTTACGCCGCTGCCAGGTTTGTTTGCAGTGGCTCTGCCACTTCACCGTCGCCGATCACGTCACATCTCTCCACCTCCGTCGAGGACTCAGGGCAGAGGCCTCGTCGCAGGTACCGCGGAGGTTCTGGCAGGTTATCCTGGGCGGCGACGAGTTTTTGGTGTGGTGCAGGCGTGCAGCCCTTTAAACAGATGGCTCACGTCGTCAATTCCCGACAATACTCACCACACTTGACTTTCGATGCTTTCCATTTTCTGCCAAGTGCAAGAAGTGTGGCCAGCTTTTGTTGACCAAGTCAAATTGGCCCATGATCTAGGAATTTAAGTGGTCAACCATTTGAGCCACATTTGAAAGATAAGTACCGTATAATTTCCTCAATATAATTAATATGTGGAAATGTTTGACTAAAAAAATCATAAGCTGAAACACTTGAAAAGATAAATTAAGTGGTATAATTGCTTTTACTCTTTTCAAATGTGTGTAATTTTAATATTGAAAAACAGACTTAGGAAATCCGATCACTCACGTACACCGGACGAGCACACACACTCGTACAATGGCTGAGCACACACACTCGCGCCACCAGATCATGTCATATGGGTGTGGCGATTAATAAGCTCCAATATAAATGTTAATACCGCACACTCTTGATTTCATATGAGTTCTCGCGTGCTCTTACCCCTTTCCAGTGCATCGCACTCCGACCTCGGGGGACGTGTCGCCCGTTCAAAAGTCTTCACTTGCGGGTTTGAACTACTAACCTCGGGTGACGAGTTAAACTCTTGTTAGGGGCTTAGAGCCACGCTCCTCCGAGCAATTTTGTCACTTAATTGACATTCACATTTCCCGAAAAGGTTGATATACTTTAGTTCTGTGGGGTTGGATTATTCGTTCGAATGGTGACTCCGAGTCACTTACTCGCGGATTCAATCTTCCATTTCGGAGACTAAGTTGAGGCCTAACTTGGGAACTTGATGTCAATCTTTTCGAGTAGTGAGTCTGACTCACTTACTCACTGAGTCGTGGTTCAGCACTGGGTCAAATGCTCTATTCTACATTTGTTGCTTTTATGTGTAGGTACGAGTGAACGAAGACGAGCCTGATGAGTTCGAGCCCGATGAGAAGAACGGTTCTAGCCATCCGCTTCGCTGATGGTGACCATTGCAATAAAGGCTGAAGATTTCACCCTTTGCTTCATATTGGGGGCATCAGGTGTACTCTTTTTTCCTTCATTAGGATTTTTTCCCATTGGGTTTTTTCCTAATGAAGGTTTTTAATGAGGCATCTCCCCGACATGGACAAGGGCGGGGATCTTCCAGTCTCGAAGAAGAGCAACTGACTTGGACTACTCCCTCTTAGCCGAGTTTACTACTCGACTAAGGGAGTGGGGGACTCGTGATGGAGTAATAGGACTAGGCCCAGAGCCTAATCAGCCCAAGCCCCGAACTTGGACCCGTGGATCCAAGTCCACAACCTGGAGCCTATCTACCGGTCCAGCGGGGAGCCTGTCAGTCCGCCTGACCTGCCAGCTGGGAAAAGTAACGGTCAAGCAATTAATGCGTTGTTTAATTATGTATTTAATTTCGTATTAATGTTGTGATTAATTAGTTATTATTATCGATAGCGGTTACTATTTGTATACGCCTATAAAAGGCAGATTGTAATTCAGATTAGGGGAGGAACTTCTATATGCTATTTCTGGCTCTCAAACTCCCTAGCACTTTCCTTATTCGTATTGCTTTCTTGATTTCCTGCTTGAGTGTCTTTCGTAGCTTTCCTAAAAGCCTACGAGCGTCCTATTTTGGACCAACATACTTACTTGTGAAACCACCAACGATTAACCATCAGTTCGTTGATCATTTCTAGTAGTAATTAATGTCGAAATGTTAACTAATTGTCATCTTAGCAACACCCCCCAACATTAGTATAGAGAAAAATTAAGGGAAGAATTAATATTCAAGGGAAGAAGTAAGAAAATAACTCACAACTTTAATAATCAACAGACTTCAAGAGCAAAACCAAGAAATGGAAGTTTAGCTCCTCATTTGGAGACTAAACTTGTTAGAAAAATATAAAGAAATGCTATTCTAAACTGAGCTTAAGAGAGTTCGTGAATTGATGCTCAAATGGGAAGGAAAATGGGTGTATTTATAGGTGTTTGGAGCTGTCAGGGCCATTTATTCGACCGGGTAAATGATTTACCCGATCGGTTTCTTGAGTAAGTGCCCGGAACCTTCATCCGTCACATTTTACCCAACCGGGTAAATGATTTACTCGATCGAGTAAAAGACAAATCTTTGCCAAATCTTTGCCTGCACGTTAAATTGCCTCCAAATCAGATTTGATTTTCGGATCAAGTCAATACCCGATCGGGTAAATGCTTTACCCGACCGGGTAAATGACTATTTTCCAAATTTTCACTTTATCTTGTTCCCTTGCACTTTCTTTGACCTTTCTAAGGATCATGTTGATGATCTTCACCTAGTTAAAGCTCAGATTAATCTAATCTAAACAAATTACAAACAAAATAGGAAAAATAAAGTATTACACCAAAAGTGTGTAATTTCCCAAACAACAACAAATAAAACTAGTTAAAATTACAAACATAAATAATAACAATTCTATACTATCATTAGGGTTAAAAGAAAAGCAGATATGAGGTATCAACTATGACAGTAGATCCAAGTATTAAAAAATGCAAATGTTTTTTCATCAAATTATGTATATTCTGTTGTTAAATATGTGATGTAAATATCAAAATGCATGTAAATTTGTAGATATCAACTGTGATGTAAACATTTTGGGCGGATGCTGTGTCTACCGCATGTTTTTGATCAATCGAATGCCATCTACTGTTTTGGATCTTAAAACTCCATATCAGTGCCTATTTCCAAATAATGAACTTTTTCCTATCATGCCTAAAATATTTGGTTTCACTTGTTTAGTCCGAGATGTTAATCCTCATTTAACAAAGTTAGACCCCAAGTCATTAAAGTGCATTTTCTTAGGTTACTCTCGAGTTCAAAAGGGGTACAACTATTTTTGTCCAAGTATAGGTCGATATCTTGTTTCGATTGATGTCTCATTTTATGAAAATACGCCTTATTCATCCCCAAAGGCAGATATTTGTTGGGAGAATGACGATATACTTCATTTACACAGTCACTATACCTGAGTCCACACCTTCAACAATTATTCCACATACTACTGTTTTCGACCCCAGGCCTCAAATACACTTGGTAAACACCCGTCGACACAAAATACTAGATCATCCTCTGTCTGTGATTACTTATCCTGATATTGATCCGATCTCGACCTCATGTCCTGAACCAATAACTGCATCTTCAGATCCTGTCTCTACATTAGATCTTGACCTCTTGATAGCACCGTGCAAAGGTACACGGTCTTGTACTCATCTTATTTCTTCTTTTGTGTCATATAGTCAATTATCATCTACCTCATGTTCTTTCATTGCCTCCATTGATTCTATTTCTATTCTCAAATCTATTAAAGAAGCTTTGTCTCATCCTGAATGGCATCTTGCCATGATAGAAGAAATGAATGTTTTGGATCTTAATGGCACTTGGGATTTGGTAAGACTTGCCTACAGGGAATAAATCTATTGGATGTAAGTGGGCACATCCGTCAGGTTACTTATTTCACTTGCTGCAACTCATGGCTGACACTTGCATCAGTTAGACATTAAAACCGCATTCTTGCATGGTGACCTTCAGGAGGAAGTTTATATCGAGCAACCTTTGAGGTTTGTTGTTCAGGGGGAGTATGAGAAAGTTTGTCGACTTCGCAAGTCTCTTAATGGTCTGAAACAAAGTCCTCGTGCATGGTCTGGGAAATTCAGTCAATCAATTGAAAAGTTTGGGATGATAAAAGGACAATTAGATCATTCCGTCTTTTAGAGACAAACGAAAGTAGGTATCACATTGCTTGTGGTGTATGTTGAAGATATTGTGATAACAGGGAGTGATAATGCATGTATTTTGTCTCTTAAGAATTTTCCGCACAATCAATTCCAGACCAAAGATCTTGGCTAATTGAAATACTTTTTGGGAATTGAGGTATCACGAAGTAAGAAATGCATATTTCTATCTCAACTTAAATATGTACTTGACTTACATATTTACTAGCCGAGACAGAGAAATTAGGGGCAAAAACGAAGTACAACACCCATGGTTCCCAACGTGCAACTCACTCAAAAAGGCACACCGTTTGAAGACCCAGAAAGATATAGAAGATTGGTTGGAGAACTTAATTATCTTGCATTCACTCGTCCAGATATTGCGTATTCTGTGAGTGTAGTGAGTCAATACATGTCATCTCCAACCATTGATCATTGGGCTGCTGTATAACACATATTATGTTACTTAAAGGGTGCACCGGGACGAGGTATTGATTATCAAAACCATGATCACATGAGAACAGAATGTTCTGCAGATGCTGATTGGGCCGTTTCTAAAGATGATCGAAGATCTACATCTGGTTATTGTGTCTTTGTTGGTGGTAATCTTGAGTCTTGGAAAGTTGGAAGAGTAAGAAACAGAATGTGGTTTTTTTTTTTTTTTATTTTTTTTGATAGCAAAAAGATTGTCTCCTTAATGTATATGGGTAGCAAAAACGGACAGATCCTTGAAGACATACATCCTCAAGAGAGGAAGCGCAGCGTTCTTAATTATGAAAGGAATGCAAAAAAAATACAAAAGGAAATGATAATACGAAGTCCAAACGTGAACAAAATAAAATATGCAGGTCATAGAAAGAACCAAATGGCTTAGTCGACCTCTTCAATCTTAGGGCCAGCACCACTGCCACCGGCCGGAGTAGGACCAGCAGCATCCTCATCCATGTCTGGGGCAACACCACCCTGATACATCTTGGCAATTATGGGATTGCATACTCCCTCCAACTCCTTCATCTTATCTTCAAACTCATCAGCTTCTGCTAGCTGATTGCTATCCAACCACGAGATTGCCTGATCAATGGCATCCTCAATCTTCTTCTTGTCATCAGCACTCAACTTGGATCCAATCTTCTCATCCTTCACTGTGTTCCTCATGTTATAGGCATAATTCTCCAACGCATTCTTGGCCTCCACTTTCTTCTTATGCTCCTCATCCTCAGCCTTGTACTTCTCTGCTTCCTGCACCATCTTTTCAATCTCATCCTTAGACAGCCTGCCCTTGTCATTAGTGATTGTGATTTTGTTCTTCTGTCCAGTTGTCTTGTCCTCAGCAGAGACGTTCAAAATGCCATTGGCATCAATGTCAAAGCAAACGGTGATCTGGGGGACACCCCTAGGGGCAGGAGGGATACCAGAGAGCTCGAATTTACCCAACAAGTTGTTATCCCTTGTTCTTGCTCTCTAAAACAGAATGTGGTTTCTCATTCAAGTGCTAAATCGGAATATCGAGCTATGACACAATCTACATGTGAGATCATATGGATCAGACATGGAGCCAGGCCGGGCTTAGGCCCGATCGGGCCTTTTATGATTGGGGAAAGGCCCGAGACCGGCCCGGGTTGCCAGCGGGTCTGGGTCGGGCCGGGCCTCAGGCCAGTTTATATATATTTTTTGCTTTTTCTAATTAACCCCCGACCCCCCCCCCCCCCACCCTCACCCCCACCCCCAAACCAGCCCAAATGGCCCAAAATACCAAGCCCAACCCGGAAAGTTAAAAAAAATTAAAAAAAAAAAAGAATAAAGCCCGAATCGGGCCCAGAAACGACGGGGCCGGTTCCATATTCCCCAGACCCGTACCAGCCCCGCTATCCTCCCTAAACCGGGCAAATGACCCGGAACCGGTACCCCGATTCCCGGTCCGGGCCAGGCCCGCACAGTACCGGGCCGGTTCTCGGGACGGGTGGCCCGAACCGGGTCCATCACTAATATGGATAAGCCATTTATTGACTGAGCTCGGATTGAAGATCATGTGGTGTGATAACCAAGCTGCTATACACATAGCAAACAATCCCATATTTCATGAGAGAACAAAGCATATTGAAGTTGATTGCCATTTTATTCGAGAGAAGAAACAAAAAGATCGATCTCTACCAGATATGTGAAGACTGGAAAACAACTTGGAGATTTTATCTCTAAAGTTCGAAATGGGATTCACTTTGATTACTTATATAACATGTTGGGCATGATAAATATCTATGCTCCAACTTGAGTGGGAGTGTGAAAGAATTATTGTATATTTGTATATAAGAATATGCTTTAGGAATATACTCTAGACATTATTATTGTATAACATCTTATATAGGAATATTTCTTCTTTGTAATCTATATATAAGGCCTTAACTCTTTAATATTATATACATAAAATTCTTCCATTCTCATTACTATTATATGCTTAATTCTGATAACACTACTGATTCATTCCACAAATGCGAAAATAAAAAACTTGCATAATATAAACCATCGTAGTCGTTTTTCCAGCTGAAGCATGTAAATATTAAAACAATAATTGGCCTAACAGTGCCAAAGGATACTTGCTATTTCTATTTTTGCATCTTTAAAGAAATTGAGGGCGGGTGTTATTTTCTGGCCATATCATCTTTCCTCCCTGCAAGAATCATGGAAATCTGGAGGCCTCTGCTGAAAGCTTGATTGAAGAGCAACCTTGTCTGGAATTCTGAAACAAATGGGAACCAAGACAAGATGACAGTAGGCAAGAAGATTATAAGTCCCATTATACACTCATATGCTCTTCCCAACTCCATCACTGAGTCCCACACTCCGACCCGTTTTAGACACGGCCTGCATGCTTGTCCAATCTGTAGACAAGACAGAGAGAGTAGTCTATCGTGTTAGTATCTATTTACTAAGAATATGGAGAAGCTTCTGTACATCAACAATATCCAAGTCATGGTCCCAAAAGAGTGGCGGTCAGCTAACATGAATTGACACATGACATTGAAGTGAAAAATAATACGTAGTAAATTGATAGAGATGGAATAAGCAAAATCAGATCAATTCTCCACGCTTATACTTTCCCTCCACTTTAATCTCTCCAAAATCATACTCTCATCTGACACAAAAGTACTAAATCATTTTTGACTACTCTAATACGCGCTTCTCTATCTTGCCCCCTCCCTCTCTTCCCTGCCTCGTCTCCCCACGTCTCAATTCGTCCAAGAGGTGCATCACTCGATGTTCTACACACTTGACCAAAATAATCGAACCTTTTAAAGAAAAGAAACAACAAAATATATAATTCCTATTATTTCACTCTTTTCTACTGAAATCTCAATTGCACCTTTTTCATTCCAACCATCATTATTAAGTTTGCCAAGCCCAAACAAGTAGTTTAGTTCAAGACGAAGGGAGTAATGTACAAGCAGTCCTCATAAAAATGTACTAATATCAAATTCTAATATAAAAATTACAGATCATGAAAAATCATTTTTGAATTTCTAAACAGAACTTAGAGAACAAAATGTACAATAAAAATAGGAATGCATAATGTATTTTATGAAATATTAGGTTAAACGACTATTCCATAAACTAGTCTGGTGTTTAGTAGGGAGAGTATATTGCAAACTGACAAGCACAGAGGCACTAAAAGAGAAGAATCTGAAGAAAGTATGAGAATGTTTGCAGTCAGCAATCTCCTTGGGCCTTGTGTTTCATAAATAAGCATTTCAGAATGTTGATTGTTGAACACCAAAAAAGAAAAAATCTTTATGAAAGAGGAAAATATAAATGAGCACTGAGAAAAATAGAGGCAAAGATTTGGGATATTTCCATTTCGGAAATGAGGTACTAAAAACGCAACTAAGCACAGACACAAAGATGGAACTCACAAGTAGAAGACCCCAGCCTGTGGGCAAAAAGGCCAGAAGAGCGGCAAATAAATCGCTCACAGTGAGGCCACAGACCACAAAAAGCACAGTCATCACTGATGCAAAACCAAGGAATAGAAGTGCCTTCAAAATTCTGAACATGAGCTGAAAGTCAGTCCCAAATCTCCGCCTTCCCATTGACACCATCTGTTTTTAGGAAAAAGAATAAAGAAAGACAGACAGAAAAAATGAATATGATTGACTTATTCTATCTTTTTTTTTACTCTAGGGGGCGTCTGAGGGAGGGGGTCTGGGGGGCCTGGACTAAACTGGGTTGAAACTCACTCAATTGAGTTTCGACCCCGAGACCCCCCATAAGGGAGAGTGAGTCGGCGACCAGCTGAGTTGGACCGCTTCCTCTTGATGTTTGGGAGAGTGCTGAAAAGTCATACATATTTCAAAATTCCTTATTCTCTCTTTTTAAAGAAAAAAGAAAAAAAACTATTCAGCACTTCAGCTATGGATTATTAGAGATTGTTCTTATGGCACTCATATTAAGCTCTCTTAGTTTAAGAGAATACTAAACCAGATTGTAAAGCTGGAGACATATAGAACCCTGCGTAAACCTAAACCATACCTTAAGGACAAGAAGAACAGTGACCATAACAAACCAAGAAAGTCCATACACCTGTCAAAAATGTATTTATGGTGAAAAGTTAGACATATAACAAGATTGACATTCGTGAAGAGAAAAATGCTATGGAGACAGCAGCATTACCAGTACACTCCTGCTTCCATGAGCTATATCAAGGTGATAGACAACTCCATATTGGTAAATGAAAAATCGAAGTGAAAGGATTATCTCAAACAGTCTACCCCTTATACTGGTGTGCTTCAGATGCTCTTGTTCTTCACCCCACCAGGATTCCCAACTTTTATCAGCAGAGATCCCAATGCCACCACGGTTCCCCATCCACCTCTTCCAATCAGTCCAATCATCCACCGTTTTCTGCCAGTCATATCCAGATGGATTGAACACGAAAGGAGCAGACAGCCACGACCCAACTAAAAACCACATCGATACAGTTATAAACCAATACAGCTTGGAACTCCGATATGATTCCCCGTAGACTTCATAAACAACTAACAATATCAACAGCTCGAGACCCTTCACAAAGTGACTGCGGGAGTAAAGTCTGTAGTTATCAGCATATTTGGCATGGAAAACAACAAAACCACGACCAGTAGCCCGGTACTTGGAACCTCCATGTAGAAGAGTTCTGCCATAGTAATGCGCTTTTGTTCCGAGCTGGAACGTGAAGAAAACAGAAGCAAGTTGCAATTGCATTACTACGAAATCACCTATAGCAGTGAGAAATCCTCTCTCCAATCCAATTTCCATCACCATAGGAAATACTAGTAATAAACCCAGCTGAAACATAGACTGGGTCGCCAAAGCCTCTTCTAGAGCCTTAGCCTCACTAACAGAAGGATCCTCCAGAATCCATTTTTCCAACCCACTCAAGACCATATACAAACGGCCATATAGAAATACATAAACAGTTAACACAGTAACCTGGAAAAGACATTAATCATAACATCTTCAATGGCTTCATGTTTTAGTGACAACCACAGGAATGAATGATACTCGTAGTAAGGACCACATTTTACTTACCATGCTACTAAAGTAGAAACCAATGGTGGTGAAGTAGAATGATAACATCCTATAGAAGTCAAACCGGCGTCCAAGCCTGTATACATCACGGCTAAGCGTTTGTTCACCATTTCCGTTTGCAACCTTTGCCTCAAAAAGAGATATCTGATTCATCCCCACATCACGTCCCTTGCCCACTTGAATATATTCATGATGTGTCACATATCCTCCTCGTAATGTTGAATTGTAACCTGAAGAGCTGACCCAATAAAACACTGAACGGTACTTGTTAAAGTGCAGTTTGTGCAATGAATTTTACCTGAGAATATGTCTTCACTCAAGTTAATAGTTTTTGAGGCTTTGCTTATGCCACCTCTTGTCAAATGAAAGATCCTGTCAAATATATCAGGATGGCCATAGTGGAACCTCACCCTATGAAGCAAAGTCTGTTAACTCTTTCAATATTCAATGTTTATCCTTCAGGAATTTATGATACATGTGAAATTGCATCTAATGCCGTCAGGCAAGAAAATATGAGAAACATGCCGGTACGAACGCCATCATCATCTGTTATACGTACCATATAAAATCAGTATAGAAGTCCAGATAGAAGGACAAAAATCCTAACCTTAAAGGGCTTGCCATAACTCTCTGTCCAATAGTTACAAAACTAGTCTCCTGATTGGACATGAACCATGCGAGTGAAGAGACACTAGAAATCATAAAAAAGGGCAAGTAAGAACTCCAAACTAGGTGTGAGAATCTCATACTGATTAGTATCAACTCCAATGCAAACCTTCCAGTAAAAATGTGCTCCCTCAATCCTAATATTGTTGGCCTACGTTGCCCGTGATGAGTTTTCGTGAACTCCTCCAATACATTTCTCATTTTGAATGCTTCCTCATAATAGTTATCCTGGAAATAGAAAAGGATATAAATTTCTGAAAAAAAAAAACTTTGGAGAACGATAACGGTACTCATACCTGATTCATGTCTATGGTCTGCAAGGCTTCTCCACGAGTGAAAATAATGGCATGATTTTGATTTTCAGGCTTTCCTTCACCAATTTCTGCTGGAGGACCAGGAAGCTTGATTCGATATATTTCCTATTATTTAGCAATGGAAATAGTATATTATTTCAAAGTAAGGGATCTACTGAGCAGCAGTTGTAGATGACATCATGCCAGATTTACATCACTGGTCTTTCTGGACATGATACATTACTTTTTTTCATGACTATAAAGTTAACTCATACCTCATCCAGCTTATCTCCTCCCTTGACAAGAACAGAGTAGTAGATCTTATTATTTACTGTATTGCCAACTGTCTCCTCTCTTTCATCTATATAAGCAACACGCAAAGATGGATACCTTGTATTCCAAGATTACAAACTCCATCAGCATTTCCAAAATTTCACATTGTTATATCTAAGTGGCCAGTGAGAAATTTGACAAATGAAACTCACTCCAACATGAGATTAAGAATATTGGCGTAAATATTATGCTCTTTTGCATCCAAGGATTTCTTCTGAGTACCATACAACTGACAAGAGACAATATAGGTGAACTTCAAATCTGCCCATGCCTTTTTTACTTCATTCAGTCTAGACTCAGGATTATTTTTATCCATAGCATTACGATAGCCAGCAAATATCTCTGCCAATGATTGAAAGGTTATTGATATAGACCATTTAACCACTATTCTCAACTAGGACACATTATATGCTGAAAGTAGAACTAACTGGTAAATAAGATTAATTAATAAGTCACAACACTAGATCTCAATGAAAGTCACCTTTATCATCCACATTTTCAAGGAAGTACTGAAGCTCAATAGCATTCCTATAGTACATCATTCCTCTTACTGAAAATCATGCAAAAACATAGACAAAATGGAAGATTGTAAGGAATCAACAACCACACAGACATGTATCTGGCCTCAATATAAAAGAGTAGTTCAAGTCAAACCAGTTCTGGAAAGTGTCTGGCCCCTGTTGGACACCCATTGCCGAGTAAGTTCAATGACTTCAAGCTCCCTCTCGTTACCAGGTTTAGGGGGTAGTTCGTCAATGCGATCCTGAAAGTTCTTCCATTCATCTAATTTGGTAGAATAACATTAGAAGAGTCAGGGAAATTTCAATGCAGCAAAACTGTATATCAACTAACAAAGGGGCCTGATAATACAAAAAAAAATCCCCTATAACGCTTCAGAACTCACCTGGATAGATCTTCTGAAGGTAAAAGAGAGTTGATATGCCATCTTCATTTTCCTTGTTAAGTTCATCCATAGAATACTTAACTTCCTCTTTATAATATGGAGTTAGAACACTGAACGGGGGGTGGGGGGGGGAGTATTTAAATTATTGTGAGTTGCAATACACGTATGAAAATACACCTAGAAAGATATCCCATATGCACATTGAAATACTACCAATAATTTATTACAATCAATTTGTAAACATATCAATTTTGGCATATATGCACATTATGAGTTGCAATACACGTATTAAAGTTTTTTCTTTATAAGCATTGTAGTGGTCTTCAGCATAGTCACATAAATCGCGGATTGATTCGATACGGGAACGAGGATCGGGAACACGATTCGCTAGGTCTAGTGAATCCGGTTCGGAGGGGGTAGGCTCATTTCAGTACGCGTTCGGTACGTTGTACCTTATGTTCGGTACGATGTACCTTGTGTTTTGGTACTTTAGTAAAATACGGATTTTATAATATTAAACAATAACAGATATCATAACATCAAACAAAATAAAAAACATTTACGGAGTATATTATTGAACTTTTGACTCAAAACTGAAAACACAGAAAAACTAAATAAAAGTTCAAAACGTGAATAGAAGTTCAAAACGGAACAATTTTCACTCCATTAAATAGGCGAAACTCGAAGAGTAGGTGTGGTCGGAAAACGAAGAGTCCTGGAGCAGAAAACTAAGAGGTTGGTTCGAGCCTGTAAGAACGTTTGAAATCAAATGACGAGGCTTGATAGCGTTTGGTGCGTCTGCGATCGAAATCAAGCAATTGCGAACGAACTGGATAAGGATTGCGAATGAACTGGAGAGTGTTTGCGAACGAATTCAATAGCGACTGGGAACCGTATCCGCCAGCGATCCTGGAAGCGTTTGGAACGCTTTCGTACCGCGATTGGGTACGGAACGTTCGGAACGCAGATCGTGGGCTCTTGAGCGATTTATGTAACTATGGTCTTCAGAAAACACGAAGTTGTAAATCCAAAGGCTAATTATTATACATGGTATCAGTGAGTATCACAGCAAAACCCCTAAAATAGTCACAAAAATCGGCATAATGAACAGTGACCACCCTATTGCTATGTACCCAAGTTCAGTTCGAAATATCTTTAGTGACTTTTTGACAAAGCTGATCACGCCAGTCTCAATGCAAAACCACGCTAAAAGCCCACTGCAATCCGACAGTGCAGTATGGCATGCGCGAGAGCACCGCCTTTTACCGGCAGTATTCCAACCTCTTGTGTCACATGCCAGGGCTGGAAGGCAATTCAGATGATACTTTTTTAGCTGAACTTCAAGGTCTATGTGGCGTGGCCTACTTGGAACTACGTGTCCTCTTCATGGCTCTTGAAGGAGAAAAAGCTATTAGCAAAGATTGCCTCAGAAAACTCGACACAAAATAAGAAGACCACATGATCATCTATTCAAGTATTCAATAAATAAGACAAAATCGAAGAAGAAGAAATTGAGAGTAAGAACAAGAAAGATGAAATAAAAAATTTCCTCAAGCAAAGTTAAACTCGAGTCAAAGATAAGTGAAAGAAAGGCAAAATGAAATTCAAGTTCAACATGTGAATGCTTAATGGACACCTTTCATGTTTCTAGTCACGTTTTCAAGTTTAAATTTCCAAAGCTCAGTCTAAAAGAAGGTCAAGTTTCAAAGTTCAGCTCTATAGATTTATACTTAAAAATTCAATTCAAATTTGAAATCATTATTATCAAGTTTCATGTTTAGTAACAAGCTTGGAGCCTATGATATTGTAGCTTGTGGAGAGTGTTCAAGTACAGAAGGTAAAAAGTACTCCCTCTGTCATCTGTCCACAAAATAACATTCCGCTTGCTTTTGGCATAAAAGTTTAAGAAACGACAACTTTAATGACAAGGGTTGGGCAAGGGGAAAATGTTATTAAAGGAAAACTTACCTTTTTGGAAATGGAAACTTGTTTCTGGACAGGGAGAGTAGTAATTATAGAAATATAGCATTACTAAGTAAGGCAAGACTATTATGCTTTTGTATTCTAATTACACTTCGGGTTTAAGTTCCATATTCCCATAGAGTTAGGAATTAGGCCCATCATTATCTCTCTATATAAACATTGTCAAAGTCTCAGAAAAGATGAACTTGTAAGTCAAAAAATCATACTAATAAGAGTAGGGAAAATATCTCAGAATAAGAGTTTAAAGAAGGTGGTTTATCTAAATATGAGTATCATGGTTTCCCCCCTAAACAGGAGTAAAATATTGCCATCCTGAAATCGTACTGCGATATTATGGCATTAGCAAGCATTAATATGGCAGTATTAATATCATAATATGTCAGAATAGTCTCAGCCTCTCAGGATGTCAGTACCTGTTCCTATTTAGAAAAAAAACACAATACTATTTAGAGAAATCACCTTGTTTTTACTACTACCTCCGTCCCATTTATATTGGGACGGAAGAGGGTGGCACGGTTATTAAGAAAAGTGGGTTTGTGTGGTTGATATTAATTGATAAAGTAAGAATAAAGTAAGAATGATTTAGAACCACACAAACTTTGCCAAATATGGTATGGGACAATTTAAGTGGGACTTCCCGAAAAGGTAAAACAGGACAATATTAATGGGACGGAGGGAGTACTATTTAATGCAATTTCTTTAAAAGTAGTAGGTTTGTTATACTACGCATGTATTTGATTTAAAAAAATATCCTCGTGTCTATTATGTCCCAATATATAAATATTTACCGCAATATTTAAGAGAATACAACAACATCCAAGCTTAAGTCCTACAAATGTTTGGGGTTGGCTAACATGAATCAACATATGACATTGAAATACTTATGAGAATAACAACAACATTACCCCAGTGCCGCAAAGGCTCCCACCTACGCAGCCTTACCCCTATACTAAAGCACAAAGAGACTGTTTCCAGATGACCAATAATGCAAATCGGTCGAAAATTACATGAACTGACTGCTCCTTCATAACAAAGAAGCGCATATAGTTTAGTGAGTCATTTTGCTTTAATCCATCATATTCCCAAGCCAAAAATAGTGAGTCTTTGGCTCCATTAAAAATGATGGAAATAATTTCTTATTAGGTCTTGTGATTCAATATTACTTTCCTCTAGTTTCTAAATATGTAAGTCTCAATTATTATTACTAATTTAGATATTATCATGGTTCTTAAAATCAACCTAGGCATCGGCCTAGGCGTCGTCTTATTGTAATCGGTGGAAAAAATCGTCTGGGTGCCTAGGCGGGCTAGGCAGAATCCTAGGCAGCTAGACAGGCGCTGAGGTGGTGGCTAGGAGGTCCGGGCTAATTTTTTTCCTGAACCAACTTATTTTTCCGTTTTATCTTAAAACATCGTTTGATCAATAAGTATTCAATTCCTATATACTACGTAATTTATTTTCATATTGCTAAAATAAAAAATAATTTTTAAATATATATATATATATATAAACTTTTTAGAATGTATTTTAACATTTTTACTTTTTAGAGACTAAAAACACAAATATCTTAATTTATCTATTAATTATTTCATTATTGATGGCTTTACTATAAAAACATAACATTTAATGATTATTGAGATATTTCTATTGTAAAAATATTATAAAAATATTGGTACTATAAGTAAGATTCAAAGGAAATACAAATAAAATAAAGAAATAAAGGGAAAATACCTAGACGCCCTAGTCGGCGTCAGGCAGGATAGGCACTAGGCGGCAGTCACCGCCCGACTAGCGCCAAGTGCCTTTTGGAGTTATGGATATTATTAGGAAAATGTTAACTTTATCCTCAATATTAATGTATTTTCTTATTGAATACATTGGTGTTTCTAGCAGTTTCTACAATATTTGAGTCTACACATTTATCTAATAACTAATATTACTCAAGTACTCAACCGAATTAGAAGCAGGGGCTACATTGTATAACCTAAGTACTACTAGTGTTTTTTCGACTGAAAACAAATATGGTAGTTTTTAAGTGTTTAGTGTCCTTAAGTTGAACTTGTCTCCATCTTCTTTCTAAAATATTATGAGAGATAGAACGGTTTACCTCAGTTTTGTCTTAACTTTTATTGGAGTTGAGGGGTGAAAAAGCATAAGCAACTACGTTTAGCATACAAGTTAAAGGTATGTGAAATAAGAGCATCACACTTTAAAATAAAATGGAAGAGCAATAATGCTTCTTAATGCACGCAAATCCCACAACTCCACAAGAGCTGGCAAAATGATAATCAACAAATTATTTAAAAACATGTCAAACTTGCAACCTGGCATTGACCTAAGGTCCTAAACAACTAGGATAAACTTAAGTACTCAGTGGCTATATAACTAACACCCCTTAATAATGTTTTGGAAATGAACCTGAAGGACATCATATTTCGAACTTCTGGGGCAGATGGCATTTTCATGAACAAAGAGTTCGCAAAAAAGGTCATTCTTCGACGTGCTTCTAAATTCATTGGCACATTTATTGCAGACTCCTTTACTGTCAATAGTAAATGGAGCCTCACAACCTGTAAAAGAGTGAAACCAAAAGACAAAGAGCATTCACACAAGGGAAGCATGGGAAAGAATCTTTGTAGAAAGTTAAAATCCATGTTACCTTTTCCCACCAAGGCGTCTTAAATAATTTTTTGTTTATATTCTGAAATTTTTCCTCGCTTTTCTTTTTTTCCGGGGCTCCTTTCATGATTCTACAAATCAGCAATATTTGAAAGCTTGTCTTAAATCCATAAAACAATAAGTATATGCAATCTACAAATAAGTTATCTAAAAACTCACTTATTGCCGTCAACCATTATATCCTGAGTGATAGCTTCAATAACATCCTGGAGAAGATTTACCAGTCGTGGATTTCTCTGTGTCTCATCCCCATGGACTCCATATTCATTTACCTGCAAATTTCAAATTATTTATGTCACGGTTGTCACCTGCATGAACAATATCGGCACCCTTTCTAGGGCATTCTGAAAAGTTGAACTAATAAAAAGATAAAGGCCGAATTTGGACAAAGAATTGCGAAATTACTAACAATAATATCTAAAAACTTCTCCAATTTTTCATTCAGTAATGGCAGCTTTTTCAAATTGAATCTTCTAAGAAAATTTTTCTCTTTTATGCTGTTATCTACTTCGTCACATATCTGCTCAATGATCCTGCAAAAGTGTAAAGAGAAGCCATATAGCTCAAATCAGATATAACAACAATGCTTGTTAAACTACATCTCACACAAATATTCTACTTGTTTGATCGTGTATTGACCCATGTATTTGGCAGAACAGTTTTTTTTTTGTGACGAGGTGGACAGAAGAAATAGCTCCGTTAATAATCGGTATTTGCCGCACCTCTTGTCATCTGCAGTATCCACTACTTCAGTCAATAAGCCCTTGAGTGTTTCAAAGCATTCAATCAAAGCCGAAAACATGAATTCATCATTCTTAATCGTCCTGAATAGTTCAGCATCGTCAATTCCCTTGAAATCTTTTACCATGCCCACTGCTATTGGGATCTAAGAGAATAACAAAACACAGTAAAAAGTCAACACAAATTGCACTCTTTGCAAACTGAGTGTGAAAGACACTAGAATAAGTATAATAATATGCTTTAGAATACATTAGCAGTATACCCTAGATATTATTATTGTATGACATCTTATATAGCAATGTTCAATCTTTGTAATCTATATTTATAGGGCCTTCACCCTCCAGCGAAACACAGAAAATTCTTCCATTCTTATTACTATTATTATATGCTTAACTGTGATAACATGCTATCAGAGCCTTCCATTTCAGTTAGTTTTCAGATTTCAGTTTAGTTTTCAGGCTGGGTTCTTTCTCCAAGAACCTGAGTTCACTTCAGAACCTCTTGTGAACAAGTATTGTTATATTTCATATACTTGATGATTAAAATACTATACAAGAAGCTATATTTATAGCTATATTTAGAGTATTAGGGTTTGCTATACAAATGGGCTAAGCCCAATACTACTAGGGTTTCCACACTCCCCCTCAAGCTGGAGCATATAAATCATATGTACCAAGCTTGTTACAAATATATTCCACTCTAGGACCTCTAAGAGACTTGGTTAAAATATCTGCAAGTTGTTCAGTTGTGTTCACATATTTTGTGATGATATGTCCACTCGTGATCTTCTCTCTGATAAAATGACAATCAACTTCAATATGTTTTGTCCTCTCATGATATACCGGATTTGATGCGATGTGCATTGCAGCTTGATTATCACACATGAGTTGAACCGGTTTTGTGTTCCCATATTTTAACTATTGGAGAAGATGTTTCAACCATAAGATTTCACATGTAGCAAGGGTCATTGCATGATATTCTGCTTCAGAACTAGATCTGGCAACCACATCTTGTTTCTTACTTTTCCATGAAATCTAGTTTCCACCAATCAAGATGCAATATCCCGAAGTGGAACGTCTATCCATCGGACATCCGGCCCAGTCTGCATCACAATATCCAACAATATCATGGTGGCCTCGATCTTCAAACAACAATCCTTGCCCTGGAGTTTTCTTGATGTATCTCAAAACTCGGATAGCTGCATCCCAGTGTCCGGTACATGGCTTATCAAGAAACTGACTAAGAACACTTAAAGCAAATGAAATATCTGGTCTTGTGATGGTAAGATAATTCAATTTGCCGATGAGTCTTCTATATTTTTCCTTGTTGGGCAAAAGATCTCCCTGTTCTGATAAGAGTTTAACGTTCGGATCCATTGGTGTATCCACTGGCCTGCAATCTAGCAAACCTGTTTCCTCAAGAATATCCAAGAAATACTTTCTTTGTGAGAGAGCAATTCCATCTTGAGACTGTGCAACCTCAATGCCAAGGAAGTATCTCAATTTTCCCAAGTCTTTTGTTTGAAATTTGCTAAAGAGATGTTGCTTGAGGAGCGCAATTCCTTGATCATCGCTACCTGTAATGACAATGTCATCAATATACACAACAAGATAAATACATTTGTTGCCAGCAGAATGTCTGTAGAATATAGAATGATCGACATCACTGCGAATCATGCCAAATCTGCAGACAACGTCACTAAACCTCCCAAACCATGCATGTGGAGATTGCTTTAAACCATATAATGAACGACGTAATCTGCACACCATAACAGACTCCCCCTGAGCAACAAATCCAGGTGGTTGCTCCATATAAACTTCCTCGTGCAGATCTCCGTGAAGGAATGCATTTTTAATATCCAATTGGAACAATAGCCAGCGGCTCATTGCTGCCATGGATAAAACCAAACGAATTGATGCAATCTTCGCTACAGGAGAAAAAGTGTAAGTGTAATCCAAACCATATATTTGAGTATACCCTTTTGCCACAAGGCGTGCTTTAAAACGATCAATCTCCCCATCAGGCCCAACTTTAACTGTGTAAATCCACCGACATCCCACCACTGATTTTCCAGTGGGAAGGGGGACTAAGTCCCACGTCCCACTAGAATGAAGAGCCTCCATCTCAGCCAACATGGCTTTACGCCACTCCGGGCGTGCCAGTGCCTCATGTGTGGTTTTAGGAATGCATATATGAGACAGGTGGGAAATGAAAGCATAGTAAGGGATAAAGAGACGCTGATAACTCAAAAAGTTATATATGGGATGTGGATTCAATGTGGAACGCGTACCTTTTCGGAGGGCAATGGGCAAATCATCCTGAGTGGTTTCAAGTGCTGGAGTAGGTGATGGTGGTGATGCAGGATCCGTCATAGGGGAATCAACGGGCGTGGCCACGATGGGATCAATGGGAGGAGGTCAAGGACGTCGATGGTATACCTGTAATGGACGGTCTGACATAGGATGGAAGTTTGGGTGCTCATCAGATGAGGGGTTAATGGGAGTCTCCTGATGGATGGGCCGGAGATATGAGGTGAAGTCCAAACATGATGGGGTATCAACTGAAGATAATGGATAGTAAAAGGACGACTCAATGAAAGTGACATCGGCTGAAATAAAATGTTTCTTAAGTAATGGAGAATAACAACGATAACCCTTTTGGAGTCGCGAATATCCAAGAAAGATACATTTTATTGATCTAGCCGACATTTTAGCTAATCCAGGTGTCGTATCATGGATAAAACACACACACACGAACACATGAGGTGGTAATGGAAATAAATCACGAGCAGGGAACAAAATAGAAGGAATTTCATTATTAAGAACTAAGGAAGGCATTCTATTTATTAAATGACATGCAATACTGAGGCAGTGTATGGGAATGCAATAATAGGGTACGATCAATATCAACCAAGTGTCGATTCTTGCGTTCAGCAACCCCATTTTGTTGAGGCGTGTGAACACAAGATGATTGGTGAAGCATACCCCGTGACGCCATGATTGATTAAAGGATGCCCAAAAAATTCTTTAGCATTGTCACTGCGTAATATTTTGATAGAATGACCGAACTGAGTTTGAATTTCAGCACAAAAAGTTTGAAAAATATGAACCAATTCAAAACGCTCCTTCATTAAGAACAACCATGTGTAATGGGAAAAATCATCCACAAAAATAACAAAATAACGGAAACCTAAAGTAGAAGTGACTCGATACGGACCCCATACATCTGTATGAACTAAATCAAACGGTGATGTAGCCCGTTTATTGACTCGCCTTGGAAAGGATTTACGAGGTTGTTTTCCATGGTGACATGACTCACAATCTAAAGATGAAAGATTTGAGAAACCTGGAACCATACATTGAAACTTTGAGAGACTAAGATGACCCAGACGGTTGTGTAAGGTAATAGCAAGTTCAACTGAAACACAATCGATTGGATCAAGAGGATGGAGGTGATACAGACCTTGAGATTCATGTCTGACGCCAATCGTTTTCCCCGTACAACGGTCCTGCACAATCACAGAATCAGCAGAAAATGTTACGGAACAATTAAGAGCACGTGTAATTTTACTGACAGAGACAAGGTTAAAAGGGGTGTTAGGGACATATAAGACTGAGTCTAATGGTAAAGATGAAAATGGAAGTGCTTGCCCAATACCCGAAGCCGATGTTTGAAGGCCATTAGCAAGAGGAATCAAAGGAAGATGTCGTTGCTTGGTAATATGGGATAAGAGATGGGGATTACCAGAAATATAATCTGAGGCACCTGAGTCAATGATCCATGAGCCTGTTGTGTTTGAAACACAAGCGGTAGACACATCAGGTGTGGATAAAGGCATATTAATCAACTTAAATTGCTGATATGCTGCATATTCTTCCGGTGATAGAACAATGGGAGATGGTGGGAGCTGAGCAACATGGGCTGAGGGAGGAGGTCTCTCATGTAATTTCCAACACCTGTCTTTAGTATGACCAATTTTATGACAAAAATCACATTTAGGACGATTCCATCTTGAGTATTCGGTGTTGTTTCCTCTGTCAGAACTCATAAAATACATTTTTTTTGTATTGTTTTTTTTTCTTCTTTTTTTCTCTTCTTTTTTTTAGAAGAATAAAAAGCTAAAATTAACAAACAAATGAGAAATTAAAAAAATAAAACCTGCTGAGGGGATCAACGCTTCAGTAGAACTCACGGCAACAGTTTGCAAATAATAGAAACACAAAAGTAATCCAGCTGGAGTGGGTTAACCAAGACCTTCACTGGACTGCTAGACTGTGTTGACCAAGAGAGCAGACCAGAGAGCAGTGAAGCAGCGGAAGAAACTGCCTGGTATTCCGTCAAATAGGTAGAGCACCGGCCAGAGCAGCGGCGAGCGGCCAGAGCAGCGGCGAGCGGCCAGAGCAGCGGCGAGCGGCCAGAGAGACGGCAACGACCGATACGAGCGGCGCGTGAGATCGGCGGCGGCGCGTGAGATCGGAGGCGGCGCGTGGGTTGTCTGATGAGTGGTTGGTTTATGTTGTTTTGGTCGCCGGGAGTCACAGATCTTCAGTGTGTCAGTGTGTCGTCTGTGTGAGCTCAAGATGAGTAGAAAGAGAGAGATCTGCAAAGAAATGTAAAGGCACTGGCAGTCGGCGGCGGCGCGTGGCAGTGCGTGGAAGGTGCAGCGGAGGTGTAGTTTCAGACGTTAGGTTGCGATGGTGTACTGAGGATGGCGGTAGGTGTGGTTTGATATATCACTACCGGAAATTGCTCAAACACCAAACGCTCCTACCATTCACGGTGGACTTTCTCGCCGGAAATTAAGAATACTATATCTAAAGACATATATGGCTTTGATACTTGATGATTAAAATACTATACAAGAAGCTATATTTATAGCCACAGTTGTTACGGCGGTGTTTTGCGGCGCGGCGCCTTTGGACTGCCACACCGCCATGGCGATATGGCGCCCGTCGTGGCGGAGTCGCGGCGATAAGTCGACATATAAACTAATGAATTCATAATATGTTTTACATACTAATAAGCCTATATGTAACACTTATAGCCAACACTACTAATGAAGTAAATGAAGTAATAAAACATGTAATCATAGAAATAACATAACCCATAAGACCATAATCAAAACAATCACAAAAATTATCCATAGTAAAAAAAGTAGAAAATAGAAATAACATAATCCATCATAAAAATACTTAAATGTATAACTAAACAATCAAAATTTCACTAAAAACTTAAAAAATATTATTTAATGTAAGACAACACAATTACACAACGTACATTTCTGCATAAATTGAAGACACCGATTTTTTTTTTTGAAATATTAAATATAAAAAAAACTACTGAAATTTATTCATTATTTGGGGAAAAACTGACATTTGTTTTCATAAAATTATAACTTTTCTTAAAATAGTAACAATAGTACAATACTAACTTTTCAAAAACTATTTGACTTTCTGTAAAACATTAACAGTTCATCACAGTAAAGACAACATTAAATTCAAAGCACTCAACAAAATATTAAAGACAATTTTTTTGAGAAATATTAAATACGAAGTACAAAGTTAATATAAAAAGTTGGATGATTTTAAACCCACGTACCCACACACTAAAGTTAAAAGTCCAAGTTTTGAAAAAAATTGAAGCACGTAAAACTGCGGACCAGACTGGGCGTGCGGCCGATTGAAGACGGAAAGGAAGTGGAGCGTGCGGACTGCGGGAGATGGATTGAGCGCAGATGGGACTCTGCGTTTGGAAACTCGTCGAGCGCAGATGGATCAGTCTGGTTTATTTTATTTGATGGGTTTAAAAAATTGGGTTTGGGTTTGGGCCTGTTCAAATAAATCGTCGCCTAGGCGTCTAAAGCGTTCTTTGGACGCTGCTTCGACGCCACAAGGTTTATGGCGAGTCGACAACATATGACGAGCCTCTCCTAGCGCCAGGACGATGTGGCGACGATAAGGCGACGCCATGACAACTATGTTTATAGCTATATTTAGAGTACTAGGGTTTCCTGCACAAATGGGCTAAGCCCAATACTACTAGGGTTTCCACACCTCTACAGACCATTAACCAGAACCTTTATTTAGAACCTTGGTCCAAGCCAGCTACCCTATTTTGGACAGGCCCGACCATCTGCTCCGAATTTTTTCCAGGCCATCTTCCCTGGCAAATTTCCGACAACTACCCTATCTCACTTGCCGTCAGCGACCAGGTGTTCAAAATCCGTAGCTTCAAATCATCACGCGTGTGCCACACGCGCCTCTGTAAGTAATCCCAGCTGCCGAACCTCTTAACCCTCCATTGAAACAGAAAATTCTTCCATTCTTATTACTATTATATGCTTAATTCTAATAACACTAAGAGAGCAATGATACTCTTACCTTACTTGCAAGCAAGAATGGAGGCCATTGGATAACTTTAATCTCAATCGATGACGAATATGGCACAAGAAGGAGATCTCTTTCCCTGGCCAATGGTGCCAACAAAAACTATATTAACTTGATAGAATTTCTAAGTTTGGGGATGGAGTAGATAGTTAACATGCAATTGTCCTTCCATGACATTTGTCCAATCAAATCAATGCATAACCACAATACAAATGTAAGGTAGCAATTGCAACCTATTGTTGATCAAGTCTTCCATTCGCATTGATACTATGAACTCATTCCACATTTGAGAGAACTTCGCAATGTTCTTTCGCTCCAACGAATCATCCTAAACAGCAACGATAAATAAAAAACAATACGGTGTATCAAGAGCTATTAAAATGAATGTTTGGGACGGACTGAAACAAAAATTATGTCATGTATATATAAATAAGGACAAGGAAAGATTGATATACTCCATTGACTTGTCCGTGCTCCTCTTTTGAATGTGGCACAAGGCGTTCTCTGAAAGCTGAAGGAATAGATACAAATCTAGACCTTAGCATCCCAAGTGTTCTAATCTACTTAAAGGAAAATTGATTAGTCAAAAGAATTATATATAGCAATTCTATGAGGTCCAGGATGTGAAAGACTTTTTACATATGGTTATATCCAACTATCCAAGGGTTCTTCCATTTTAATAAAGAGCAACAATTACCTCGCCAAGGTGACTGAATGCTCCAGTAATCCCTCCTACAATTGTATAAAATATAGCATACCATATTTGTGTATCCAAAAAATAGACCTACAAAATTCATTTGTTAGCGTATGGAGTTAAGGGTCTTGATCTGATCTTTTATTTTCCATTTCATTACATACCAGAACAACTGGACTCCAAATTGCGACCACAACACCAATATTATTTGCCACTGCATCACATGTAAATGTACCTTAATGTGATCATGTATAAACAGTAAACCATAAGGAATTAAGGATGCTAAGCATGAAAGCAAGACATTACGGTTTGGGAAGAACTCATGCCATTCATAGTTAGGCACTCTAATATTCATGATAGTCTTTGTAGGCTGAACTAAAGGCAAAATCTGCAGGTGCAAATAAAAAAGACCGAATTAAAGAAAGAATGGGCTGGGTCAAAGCAAAGACACGTACGAGTTCACTAGCACAAGAGGAATTTATGGGGATGAGAATTTAAATAAAAGTATACCAGAAGTCTAATTTATGGGGATGAGAATTTAAAATGCTTCGGAAAAAGTTTTTATGGGGATGAGAATTTATGAACTTCAGAGGAAATCAAATATAAAAAAACAAAAAAAGACATTCTTTTAGTGTAATGTAGGAATAGATATGGGCTCTTTACAGTCTATGCTAGCAATAGTGAAATGGGTGTTTCAAGTGTAGGCTATTAAAAGATTGATCTCACAACAAACATATATAAAACATACAGATATATAAAGCCTTGGGCTCCTCCAATAAATTTGAATTTTACGATTGAACTCCAAATCTTAAAACTATTCCATAGTTTGAGGTTTTCCTATGTTTAAAAAACTTTGCAAGGACAAATGATTTGACCGCTCCTGCACCTGCTTCGACATTTGCACGATAAGATGAAACTACAGTGCTATCAAGAGGTTTAGTAATATGGACCTGATTGGCCATGTCTACCAGCAAAAGTAGAAGAGGAGTCCACCTTGAGAGGTCTGCAAGTTATCTTAAGTATTTTATTCAATTAAGAAATTGGGTGAATCGGCCGATTCTTCTAAAATTTATGAAGTTCAGGTTGAAGTGGCTGGATTGGTTGATTCTGTTGAATTATAAAAAATTATACTTAAAATATTTTTATTAATAAGAAAAAAAGTTATATGAAAAATAGCTAAAATGATCGTCTACAGTAACTTCAGCCAATACAGCCAGAAAAGTAATTGCATCCTTACTTTTTCTTATTATTGCACAATTCAGCGCGTGGAATCAAAATTTACATGTTTGGTAAAAAAGTTGGTTGATAAGTCTTATAAGCCGAAAAATAGGGTCACCAAACGGGCTCTAAATCAGCTTACCTTTTTCAGTCAAATACTATTAAAATTTAGAATTCCATCCTAAAAGGTCAACCTAACAGAAGGACTAACCCAAAACTGTATAGGATAGTTTGTATTTTCATACGCGGTCAGTGTGAGAGAGCTTAATATGCCCCAACGAGATGGTGGTTCGTTAGAACAGACCAAACTTATAGTCCACGTGCCCACTGTTGAAGCTTACCTCGATCTAATTGCTCGTTAGAGCCTTATCAGCTTTGATACCATATCAAGACTTGGAGTTCCATCCTAAAAAGTCAACCTAATAGGAGGAGTAGCTCAAAGCTGTATATGTTACTCCCTCCGTATTTTTTATTCGCTACAATAGGTGTTGGCACATTTTTTAAGAGTGAAATAGTAGGGGTAATGAATACTGTAGAAAAAGTAGGAGAGATGGTGGAAAAGTATGAAAGAAAAGATAAAAAGTAGAAAAAGTAAGGGTAATTGAGTATTTTTAAAGGAAAAACTTACCAAAAAGGGAAAGTGTAGCAAATTTTTGAATGCATCCAAAAAAGGAAAGTGTAGCAAACAAAAAAATACGGAGGGAGTACTTTGTATTTTCATATGTATTGAATGTGAGATATCTTAATACGCCCTCGAAAGATGGTGGCTTGTCCGAGCAGACCAATCTTGTAGTTCGTATGCTCGTTGTTGAGACTTATCCGGATCTAATTGCTTGTTGGAGCTTAATATGCTTTAATATCATATAAGACTTTAGATCTATCCTAAATGGTCAACCTAATAGGAGGAGTAATCCAAGGCTTGATATGTTAGTTTAATTTTCATACGTGGCCGGTGTGGGATAGCTCAATAAATATCAGTTTATCTAATAACATCAGCTTACCTTATTTTAGTCAAACTTTCAAATATCAGTTATTAAGTTTGTAATAGATTAGATCTCTTTCATACTGACGTTTTAGGACTTATGTCTTTTGTATTCATAAATCTTATTAGTTGTAAGAGAATATTTAGTTCAGGAATTAACTATTCCTACAATCTATTGGTGGAACAACTGATCACCTTCCTTTCCTAGGCAGAAAGTTGGATTTGTATACTGAACCATATATTCCAACCCTTCTCTTCCTTATCAATGACCTTGGAATAGATCTTGTATGAAGGTCTATAACAATTAGGCACCGGCATTCAAGGCGAAGGGGAATGATAACATCAACACCAATACATTCAAATACTTCAACTTCTGATAAGCAGAACCACAAAGGCCAGTTCAGTTCCGGATGGCCACTTGGCCTATAATCAAAACCAACCAACCCATGCTCACTTGATGTCAAAATGCTAATTTTGACCCTTCTATAGCTATTACCAGAGTTCTAATAACAAAAGGAAATTTAAGAGCTGATAGACTACTAATCTAATTAAAACTTAAAAAATGGGAAATAAGAAGAATAATTGAATTGGGACTGCTTTTCTTAAACCAGAACTTCTGGTGTAAGAAGGCAGTCCTGGTCATTTAGCCGGCCCAATCAGCCACTTTTAGTGCACCCTTCAGTGCCACCCTCTGCATGGGGCCTCTAGGTCCAATTTCGGTTGATGACGTCGCTGGTAAGTATGGCCCACGAAGGCGTCCACATCAAGGTCTTAAACAATTAAAGCTCTATGTATAAATAGTTCTGTATCTAGTGTATGTGAGGTTGACGAGAAAAAAAATTCACATGACAGTGTACTTCAGATTGGAAAATAACACACCTATAGGCTATGCCAACAAGACATCAACAACGGGACAAAAAACAAATATGTGATACCAACAAAATCCAATTCTTAGCAACTTAAGTGAGCCAGATAATTGCACAATTATAATGTAAGACAAAAAATACCTCCACATAATAGCTGAATGCCAACTTGCTGATGAGCAGAAAGATCCAGAAAAATGTATACCTGAGAAGAGAACAGAAAACAACTATTGAAAGGAACCCTAGTGCTCTTGAAGAAATAATAACTCCCAAGAAATGTTAGTGCCCTTATACAGGGCCATTATCTGCATCAACAGTTTGTTGGGAAAAAAGCAAACGCTAAAAATTTATATGCATGGAGGTGCATCCATGTATAGAAGAACTCTTTCTTACTTGAATAGAGAAATCATGTCTTCATGCATGCCTCTTCCAATATACAGCTTTGGCTGCAACTTAAAGAGATATTATTAGAATATTAGTATGGAAGGAGTACCTTTACAAGGAAATGGCAAAAAAAGATGCTGCTGACCTGAGACCACCACATTAGTAGCACAACAACACGCCAGTTTGATTTTTCCATGGATTTTCTCATACAAGGAAACATAAAAAGAAATGCAGCCAATATGTTTGGCATCAAGTATATGCCAACACAGTAGTAGTATAATGACTGGTTTGGTATAATTCCTCCCAAATTGTTGAAAAATCGCACAACTCCAGTGGGATTCTGAATAGATTTAGAATAAGTAATAGGCAAAAGAACCACCCAGAGTGCAGCAACCACAAGTTTCAGTAGATAGCGAAGTATCTGCGTAAATCTCATGCTCCTCCATGCATTAAGGCTGAGGATTATATCCAAAACAGCTGCAAAAATTGACAAGAACTTGAAAAGAATCTCATGGAATGGGAACATGAATTATTTTCCAGATTAACACAAAGAATAACAACCAAATTGGAATAACTTGAACTTGTACAAACTAAGAGAAACAAAGAAGATTGTCTTTCTGATTGATATCATGAATGAAAAAGATGTTAGATTAAATACCACGCCAAAAGTGCAGAATAGCAGCAGTTATAAAAATGCTCAAGATGCTTTTGAACATGTCCTCATCAAAAATCTCAGACAGGGATCCTGAATTGTTCCATGCAATAATAATCATCACCTGGAAACCCAGAAATATGGGAAGAAATGTTATTGAAATTAAATGTAATATGAGCATTTAAGTGCAGATTAAGTCTGTTTAGCATTATGTACTTCTAATTTGCTGAGATTTGAGCGAGAAATGGGGGAGCACACATTGAGGGTATAGAGAATGGAGTAAAGGACACATATATAATGTGCTACAATAACTTCTTTTAATTATCCAGAGTTTATATGTGTGCATGTGTAAGTAGGGTTTGGTTCTAGCGAGAAGTACAATTAATGTGGAAATGTGCAAAGCAAACTCATACTTCATGGCCTTTCACTTTAGCCTTTAGGCTACGTTTGGCATTATGAGCTAAAGCTTGAGACTAATGTATGAATTAAGGGCTATTGTCTGGAACTAAATTTTGAAGTGCTCAATCTGAACTGCTAGTTTATATGTGTGCATGTGTAAGTAGGGTTTGGTTCTAGCGAGAAGTACAATTAATGTGGAAATGTGCAAAGCAAACTCATACTTCATGGCATTTCACTTTAGCCTTTAGGCTATGTTTGGCATTATGAGCTAAAGCTTGAGACTAATGTATGAATTAAGGGCTATTGTCTGGAACTAAATTTTGAAGTGCTCAATCTGAACTGCTAGTTGAATGAAGTAGACCCGTTTGGCAAAAAGAGCTGAAAGAATGTCTCAATAATATGAATTTACGTTAAAGGTCATATAAGTCTTTAATCAAACAAAATATTTATTACTACATATAACAATTCTGTTTTACGGAGTATTAAATATGGAGTAGGAAATTTGTAAAACTTGAAAGTACCCAAAATTATGCCTCTCATCGATCTTGGGAATTTAGTATGAGAGTACTCCCAACAAACTTCCCCCATCTCTCATTATTCGCACAAATGGTGACTCACACACATCTCTCTCATTGAGTTAGAGACCTTACCCCTTTTGCCTTAAGATCACATCTCGTTCCTCACCTTAAGATCACATCTCGTTCAATCCAGAATCTATGGATGTATGCATGTAAGTGTGTGTGTTTGTCTGGCTTGTTTCCCTGATTCCAATCTAACTTGACTTGAGTACTTGACCATCTACTAAAATATACTCCCTCCGTCCCAAACTCAGGTTCTCGCTTTCCTTTTCAACCACCCAAAATATAATCTGTGTTTCCTTTTATAGAAAATTCTGTGCAGATCATATTTTTCCACTTAGCTCTAAAGAGATCTCAATCTAACATTTATCTTAATAAATATGCAAAGTCAAACCAGGAAGTCAGGAACCTTATTTTGTGACGGAGGTAGTTACTAGTAGCATGTAAGGGAGTAACAATCATGTCTCAAGATACCTGGAGAGCCAATATAAAGAATGTCCAGAAGCGATCAAAACTCCTATAGAGATGCCAAAAGGTACGAATTTCAACAAAATTTGTCTTTGGCTTCCTCTTTCTTGTAGCAACATTGTTACGGTCCTGGAGAGTTGACTCTGGGTAAGAAGTAATTCACTATAAAAGGAAAAACTACATATACCATATTCCATTTAGACATAATGACAAAAATAATTATTCAGACTTTTAAGAGGACAAAAATGATTCTTCAGACTTTTAAAGGACAAAAATAAGACATCTTTTATATATGGACAAAAAGGAGACTAAAAGTTAATGAATGATCTAAAGTACCCTTAATTAAACACCTCTGGGCTTTCTTTCTAGTTCTCACGCATCATGCATCACCCCTCTCTCCTTTTCACGTCTACTCCACCTAGGGCTCCTGAGAAGACGGTGGCAGTGGTCACTGGACGGGCGAACATCGGTCACTGGACCGGCGGGCGTTGGTCACTGGACGGGTGGACAGGCATGTCACTCTGACGTGGGTCACTGTAACGCTGGTCGCTGAAGAGTGACTGTAGTAATTGGTCAATTGGGGAGGATATAATGGTCCTCCAACTCCTTTTAGTCTCTCTTTTAGTAATTAAAAAAATGTCTCTTTTTGTCCATGAGTTAGATTTTAGTATTATTCATGTCCTAATCCCATCAATTTAAATAGGATATCTTTGGTCAAATACTTAAAACTGACACATGAAATATCAATGAAATCAAATAGACTTTTCAAAGAACAACCCAATAACTTAAAAAAAACAATAATTTATCATATGTCTAGTGCTAACTAGGGAACATTAGAGGGGCTAACCATATATCTTATCACCTTACGGTGGTATTAGCCCAATTAAGTACAAAATTAAGATGTAACCCAAAGTTCTGTGTTCAAGGCATTTGTATAATAAGCAATACCAATTAGGTTGAATGTGGAAGATTCAGTAAGTGGCTAAGCAAGAACACATCAGCGTGTGTAGATACTTGTGTTTACATTAACATTTTAGTGTTCTTACGAGTCAGATCAAGTGTTGGGGTAATGGTTCAAGCATATGCTTCAGCACAATATCCTCATTTGCAGAAAACTAAGTGCTGGTAGATTCCTTAGAAGACCGAGTGTGCATCCTTCAAGTTGCCCGTAGATATGAGCAAAATATTTTATATGTTTGCCACAATATTTTTTAATCTCATCTCCAGGACTAGGAGTAAACCAGTACTCTTGTACATGTAACTTCATCATTTTATTTTATGCTTATTGGCCTGTTTTAAGCATTAATAGTTTAGTCAGTGTCCTTGTTTCATTCATTACACTACTTTCATGCGAGTTTTCTGATGTTCTAATGTTTAGGAATTCCCCTCAAAACAAAATGCAAGGAAAACCTTTAGAATAGAAAAGCAAGACTGAAGTGAAAAGTTTAAAGTAGAGTTTTACTTTAAAACCAATGGTCAGGCTTTAGAAGACCCAGTTGGTGAAAACCAATGTTTACAGATCTCGAGGCTTAAGGCTTTACTAGGTTACAATCTACTGGTAACTTAGAGATCCACTGCTTCAGTCTAACTTTGTTAGAGTGAAGATACAGGGAAATAATGAAGAATTTATTAATTCAAATGAAGAATAGGGAAAGATTTGAGACCATCTCCAAGATTATATGCTAGAAGGAATTGCATAAATATGACTACTCCCCCCCCCCAAAAAAAAATGAAATTAACCTTTGTTCAAATAATTTAAATTTCTTCACCCTCTATTCCCTGCCCAACTGCCAATCCACTCCGCCTGCTCCTGATCCCACACTCTCCCCTGCCCCACCCTGCAGCCTCCATAAACCGCTGCCATGGACCACCATCGGATTGGTTTTTTCTGTTTTTTTTTTAATTCAGAAGAAAAAGTCATCAGATTTGTTTTACCGGTGGTCACACTGACACGTTCTACAGCGGGTGTGACACTAGTGGCGCAGACGGTGACACTGGTGGCGGTAGGAATGACACCGGCAGTAATTAGTAGTGAAATAATAATCCAGCAATGACATAAAAAATTGTCAGTGATATTCATAGTTTACAAATTTAGTAACATGTTTTTTTCATCGATTGCAATGGAGCCAAAGATTCACTATTTTTTGGCTTGGGAATATGATGGAATAAAGCAAAATGGTTCACTAAACTGTCTGCGCTTCTTTGCTATGAAGCAACAGTCAGTTCATGCAATTGTTTAAGCGATTTTCACCATGGGTCATCCGGAAACAGTCTCTTTGTGTTTTAGTACAAGGGAAGGATGTTTTCTTTTGGACTGTTTTCAGTCCCAGACTAGATCATACCAGACTTTTTTTTTATCATAGATCAGACCAGACTTAAACAGACCAAACAGACTTAAACAGACCAGATCAGACCAGACTTGGACAAATATAAATACACATAGACCAGACGTTTACTAGACCATACCAGACCAGACTTAATCAGACCAGACCAGATCAGACTAGACCAGCAAAATTCAGTCCAAAAGAAAACACCCTAAGACTGTGTACATCCTGACCCCCTTACCCCACCTTATGTGGGAGCCTTTGCGGCACTGAGGTAATGATGATGACGACGACAAATTTATTACCATGTTAGCCATACGCTTGTCCATATATACTAGTCAGTATTTTGGAATTGTACTTCACTATAGTAATATGTTAGGGAAAACCCTTATATTCTTCCAAGGCTACAATTTCTCAGTAAAACAATTATTTACTGCCATCCTCTCCTATGCAAAAGAGTATCATTATTATTTCTTAATAAAATGTGTATAATAAGAAGGAAGAATACACAAAGTTGCAAATCAAGCATTGTCATTGAATGAATAGACAATTGTCCTTGGGTAAGTAGTTAAATTGCTACTCAGTGGCAACTCAGTCAAGGGCCAAACAACGAGTAAGACCCGATTACAAGGTGATTACTCGGCCATATACTAATAAAATTGAATATATATATATATATATATATATATATATATATATATAAACACACACACACATATACATATATATATATATACACCCCAAATATTCTAACTTTCTAAGAAAATCAATCATCTATTAATACTTATGAAGAGATTAAGTGGAAGCTGCCACTATAGAGTATGAGAGGATATGTGAAATGTTCTCAAAACCTAGACTTAAAATTTTTATTCTTATTTTTTCCTTCTTTAAAATACTCACTAATTATTTTTAAATTCCATGCTATCTCACTTTACTTTCAACGTTATAGATTTAACCCCAAAAAATTATTAATTACCGATGACCGAGTAACTCAGCGAGTAAACCTATTCACCGAGTAGCGAAATCACCAAGCACCAGACGAGCTACTTGAAAAACTGGAACAGAACGAGTAAGTATGTTAACCGATAAGGTCCTGCCCCGAGTAGCAAGTACACGGCGAGTACTTGAAGATTAGATGACACAGGTCGTTGGCCACAACTTTCCTAGTGTGTATCATTGTGCGTCTATCTTAGTATTACCCTATGTTAATAGACCAGAATCATCACGGATGGGTCGACCCAAAAACAGAGACCCGCTTGGAACACTAGGCAGCATACACGGTGACCCACAAATCAGTCAAAACCAGCCCAACCTTGGAAGGATAAAACAACTTGCCCTGTACAATAAAAAATACTTGTTTGGGATGAAATCGATCCATCATCTGCTGCAAGCAGACGAGAAGCGGTATATTCTTCCCAAGTCTACCACTTAAGCGTGTTTGTTGTGCTTGCTTTTTACTACCTCTGTCCCTTGATACTTCGACATCTTGGTTAAATTTGGACAATGATGTTGACTAGTACGGAGTATAATTTTGTGAAAGTTATAAATTTTATACTCTTATGAATGTATTTTTAACAAAGAACGTATTCATGTCATTTTTATATGATAAATGATTTCATATAAAAGTATATCATTGATCAAAGTTTAGGCCTGATTGGGCGGTGAAACAATGTCACATTCAAAAGATAAGTGTGGCAAAGATGCATATGTTGCGTTGGATGTGTGGACATACCAGAAAAGATTGCTTGAGGAATGAGATAATCAAACAAAAGGTGGGAGTAGCACCTATAGAAGATAAGATGCAGGAGTCTCGTTTGCGGTGGTTTGGGCATGTGCGTAGAAGACCGAGTGATGCACCTGTTAGACGAATTGAGAGGTGGGGAGAAGAGACAGAGAGGAGAGGGAAGGGAAGACCCAAACAAACTTGGATTAGAGAAACCAGAACTGATATGGGTCTTCTTGGGTTGAATGAGAGGATGGCTTTGGAGAGGGCAAAGTAGAGGGCGCACATTCGTGTGGACGATTGATCTCTTTTCTATCTTTCCTATCTCTTTTTCTTTTATATTTTATCTTCTTTATCTTTTTATGTTCTTATGTTATTTTTATGATGGAATAAAGCAAAATGGCTCACTAAACTGTCTGCGCTTCTTTGTTATGAAGTTGTAGTTAGTCCATGCATTTTGGACGCGATTTTCACTATGGGTCATCCGGAAACAGTCTCTCTGTGCTTTAGTACAGGGGTAAGACTGCGTACATCCGACCCCCCTTACCCCACCGTAGGTGGGAAAGCCTTTGCGGCAGTGGGGTAATGACGATGATGATGTTATTTTTATCTTCTAGCTTTTTTACGCTCTTTTATATTTTTCTCTTTTATCATTCTTATATTCTTATGTTATTGTCAGTTATATTTATTTATCTTTATCTTATTCATTTTATTTTGTTTTTTGTTTTTTGTTCTTGTATGTCTTCTCTTTTTGGCATCGATATCATGGATCGATTCAAGTTAGCCAACCCCAAAATCTTTTGGGATTAAGGCTTGGATGTTGTTGTTCTTGTTGTTGGTCGGGTTTAGCGGTCGTTGATGAAGCTATTGTGTGGCTACTAATATTATTTGTTTGCCTGTATCATTGTGTGGCTATTGTTAAGTTCCGCATTATGTATCACACTTCCTCCGGGTAAGACTGTTTTGGGGATACATGAATTATCAATTTATTTGTACTATTAGATATGGACCTCGTTGTAATCCTTAACATGTGGCTCGGTGTTAAGATTGCTTTCTATTCGGTAACAAAAAATGCTTCCATACCGTCGATCTTCCTATGGGGGTCATGAGTATCAAGTTATCAACATAATTTTTCTTAATGAAGAGGTTATGTAGGACATGTATTCAGCTTAAGGAGGCATAGCTCAAGTGGAGCATCCCGCCACCTACATGGCTACAAACAATAGTTGTATGTTTGAGTCACCTTGGAGGGAGGTACAGGACTACTATGGTTTTTCTTTCATGTGGGTATAAAATGTGGGAAAAAATGTAAAACTTTGGGAGGGAGACTGAAATACTAGATCTCCTTATGTAGGGTTTAGATGTTTAGTCTAACTAATCGGAGGGGTTATGGCTTCAGCCTAATTTATATCTGTAACAATTAATTAAGGCATCTTGATCAATAATACATCAGTATACGGAGTACTTCGCAATCTCCCCATATTCATATCAAGCCAGTGTCTCTACTCCACATGTTTGTAACTTCGACTAAAGGTATGCTATATATAAATATGAATATAAATACAATGTAATACCGCATTTGTTCCTTGATCATCATATGGGTGCACAAAAAAGTCAGCATCTTTCTTCATTGGCCATCCCAAGTTAAAACATTTATCAGACCTGATGTAGTCCCAACCATTTGACAGAAGTAAATTTTCAATTCAAATTTAATAGGAGAATTGAACCAAACTTAATTGAGGAACATGATTACCAGAAGTATTCATTCAGATCATCATAATTTCTCCAAACTGAATGACTTGCTGTCCCTCTTTTGTTTCTCTTAGCTTCCTTTTCCAACAAAGATCACAGTTTAAGTCATAAAGAATCAGCAAGTATCATTTTATCAGTCATCACCACAAAATTAGAACTTACCATTGATATCACATTATATATAGGTGTCACAACATCCTTAAGAAATGATTCCTCACCACGATGCACAGTCTCATATGAAGCTCCAGTGACATCAATAACATTGCCAGCAAGTCCTTCAACCTCATGAGACATCTACATCGTTGAAAACCTAAAACTTCTTTTCATCCATGCGGTTGAAAGTATCACAGAAGAATCAAGAACACTTCTTTCATATTCATCAATTTTACTTTCACATTGTTTTACGTTCTAAAACAGTATCCAATTCATTCTTGAAGGTTCCTGTCGGGTATCATCTTCTAAACTATAAATACTAACACAACCCAACAAAGACTTAGATCGCAATGTAGTTGGTGCCAACCAACAAAGCTGCTCTCTTTTATGTGGGATAGGTATATAAACACAATAATAATGGCATTATTACAGGTAATGTATATACAAACACATAGCAAATTTCAATAATTGGGTCGTGATTGTTAATGAAAATTGAATAAAACAAGAAGGGAATATGGAAAGTTGTGACTAAATATTCGGTGTCCGAAAACATCGTGCAAAAAGCAAACGTCAAGATTTAAGCAGGACGGAGGGAATACTATATAAGATTATGAGTTACTCTTTCTATCAGTTTCACCTTTTAAGATGCTTCCGTCCCATTTTATAAATCTTGTTTTGGTTTAGCCCAATTATTAAAAAAGTGGTTAAAAAGGAAATGTATGAGTCGAATAAAGTGAAATGATATTATCCATTAAGATTAATTTCCTTAATGTGGTTAAATACATCACAATTATAAAATAAATTAACTCAAAATAGTTTTCACCAGTACAGTTAAGCCATCATATCATAGGAGAGGGGACAGATCTACACAATCCTTTACAGTTGTGATTGCTGTTGTAGTAACATATAGAACATAAAGGCAAACCTACACAGTGGAATATATAGCAGAGACATTCTGGCATGAATCGGATATTTGAAGCTTCACCCCAAATAAGGAGATAAAGACCAACGTAGACAAGATCACGAAATTGTTGTTGTTGTCGTTCTAGATGTTGTTCTTGTTCTTGCTGTCGCTGTTGCTGTTTACTACCATCCTGTTTACTACATTTCAAGATATATAGATAGAAGCTTAGCAATAAAGGGACACACTAAATTCTTTGAAGTATTACATCTCATACTAATTTGAGCCAGTTAATTGAAATCTACCGAAGAAAGGTTTACCACTTTGCGAACAAGGCTCATGGTCTGCTAGCAACTTAGCAAGTACATACACCACTTACCTCTTGATATTTGACGGGAGATGCAAATATTTGCACCATGAATTGTAGTTTTTGAATATTTTGTCATTCAGTTTCTTAACCGTGTTGCTGAACTGCAATATAAATAAAATTATTATTTTCCGGTTCAAGTTGCAACAGACCTAGAGTGAGAAACCTCTTACTACAAATTCTAAGAAGAAATAAATATTCCATCTCAGTGATGAAACTAAAGAATTACTGAAACCGTCATTTACATAGTAATCGTTGCCATGTAAGCTCTTATCTCTGATGTACATATTAGCAAGCAGCAGTACTAAGTGCTCCCTTTGATTTGCTACATTTGCTTTCTTCAGTTCAGAGGGGTCAGAAGCAGAAAACATGAAGAAATGGAGAAAAGTTAAACAAATCATCGTATGACACAAGAGAAGTATGAAGTGCAAAGCTTCTTAGATAGAAAATTGCTCTGGTGGAGGCTGTGCCATGGCCTTTAAGAGATTGCGTTTTTGACTATCAAATTCCAAAGAGTCGACCGTATAAGGTTTGACGTAAAAAATTAGGAAAATTTTGAACCATGCCTAAATCCAAATTACATGTTTAAACATACTAACAAGTCTGATGAGCAGAGCTTAACTTACCTGGAACCCAAAGGTCAATCCCAGCCATTCAAGAATGTCATTTACTGAACTAGCCTTATTTTCAGGCATTCGAATAGCTGCCAGTGATTCTTTGATCTGTTTAAGGATAACAATATTAGCCAATAGAGTCAGATAACATGTAGAGTTAAGTTACATAGCCACGGTCATATATAGGGAGTGAAACAAATGGCCCCGGACTAGTTACTATAGAGACTTAATATACAAAGCTTAGAATCCAACTGGCAACTACCTCAGGGAGTTCCATTATGGCAGGTTTAACGTCAAAGGCATAAAATGGAAGAATATTATATTGCTCATACTGTTTCCTTTTCTCTTCTACATCTTTGGCATACTTGCATGCCTACAAGCATGGATCAAAAATAGGTTATGCTCACTACTCTAAGAGTGGGATATACCCAAAAGCTTAAAAAGGTAATACAGCTAACCGCTTCATCCAAATCTCTAGGTGATTTATCTGGCTCCAATGCCAAGTAAACATCATACAACACACTTGCAGTTTGACACATCTTCGCCATCTTTTCTCTGAAATGGGAATATTTTATTCAAAAACCTAGGAAATTATATTTGAATGAGACACGAAGCTACAGATGGAGTTTTGAGCAAGTTCTCACGGGTTATTTGTCAGATGGCCATTTTTGATATGTTCCAGATAGAACTTCTTGTAGAAATTTATTACATATTTACTCGAAATTGGAATACCTTTGTCCTGCAAATATACTACCATGAGCCTTATTTTATAGGTATTAGAGATTCAGATAATAACAAAAATAAACCCAGCATCCAAATCAGAAGAAAAATGGTCAAGTTACAAGATGGGCATGTTGACTTCACAATATAAATCTTGGTAGGGAATACGACAAGCAAATATCTCAACTCACGGGCGTGTCGATTCATGGTCATGCTACATGATGGGCATGTCAAATTTACAATATCAATATCGTAAAGGAATATGAATAGCAAATATCTCAACTCATCGACGTGTCATGATATTTTCCATGCATGTAAAAAAGGCCTTTGATAACGATGACTGTTTTGGAATTTCCTCACATTGTTCTTTTTTAAGGATGATACAAGAACCTAATTTGTTGAGTATCTTTAGACACTTAGTTGGGACAATAACTTTCATGCGCCAAACACTACAACACTTCTTTGCCACCAACCCAACAATGTAACACTTCATTACCCCAAACACTTTATCCTTCTTATTTTATATATATTCTTTCTATCTTATCCTTTTTCTCTTCATCTTATCTTTATCTTACCTTATTTTTTTATCTTTCTTCTCTTTCTTTTCTTTTTGGCTCCGATATCATGTATCGATTCATGTTAGCCGACCCCAAAATTTTTTCGGACTAAGGCTGGGATCTTGTTGTTGTTGGGACTTGGGGGAAGACTTGAGTCATATAGATAAAAATAAAAATAATAATAATCTCTTTAGAGCTTAAAGTAAAGGGAGGTGAGTCATAGAGCCAAAAGCTCCAGGGGAACATTCCAGCTTGCTGATCCCGCGTAAGTGAAGGCCCCAATAGCAGATTTAATATTCCTACTCTGACAAAATTAGCTAATGAAACTGTGTATTTTACCATCCATCAGCAATGGTACAAAACTGTAGAAAGAACTCGTGAAAAGTAGAATGTATATTATTATTGTTGTTCTGTGTAATACAAGGAGAAGACTACATAATATATAGCCAGAGAAGAAAGTAAAATAAGGAAGGAAATCAAGGAATCCTTCTAATTAAGGTTCTCTAATAAAGAAAAGATATATGGGGATATTTAGAGATTCTGAGATCTCCAGGATATCTTCCCATAACTCCTCAATCGGGTGATTAATTAGGATAATCTCTGCAATAATCTACACTCCCCCTCAAGCTGGGTGATGGATATCATCCATGCACAGCTTGCTAGATAAGTCTTCAAACTGAATTCTGGGAAGTGCCTTGGTGAGTATATCAGCTATTTGTTGCCTGGTTGGAACATAGATTAGCTGGATATCCTTAGCTGCAATCTTCTCAGACAAAAATCTTCTATCTATCTCAATGTGTTTGGTCCTGTCATGATGGACAGGGTTCTTAGCAATACTGATAGCAGATTGATTATCACATGAAATCTGGATGGAACTTTCAAATGGAAGTTTGAGCTCATTCATCAATCTTCTTAACCATAACCCTTCACAAATTCCTTGTGCTAAAGCCCTGAGCTCAGATTCTGCACTACTTCTAGAAACTACAGATTGTTTTTTGCTCCTCCAGGTGACTAAGTTACCCCATACATAAGTACAGTAACCAGTAGTTGACCTTCTGTCTAGGAGGCTACCAGCCCAGTCAGCATCAGTAAATACTTCAATCTTTCTAGTCCCCTGTTTCTGAAACAACAATCCTTTTCCAGGAGTCATTTTCAGGTACTTCAGAATTCTGTAGACTGCAGTTAAGTGTTCCTCAGTTGGGTCATTCATGAATTGACTTACCACACTTACTGAGAAAGCAATGTCTGGCCGTGTATGAGATAGATAGATTAGCTTTCCCACCAGCCTTTGATATCTACCCTTATCAACTGGTGGACTTTCAATCTCACTGCCTAACTTCTTCGATATATCCATAGGAGTGTCTAGAGGTTTGCACCCAAGCATTCCAGTTTCACTTAGCAAGTCTAGGACATATTTCCTTTGTGAAATGAAAATGCCCTTCTTAGATCTTGCCACTTCCATTCCCAAGAAGTACTTCAACTCGCCTAGCTCCTTGATTTCAAATTCTCTTGCTAGATGGGCCTTCAATCTGTCCAATTCAGCTTTAAAGTCCCCGGTCATGATAATATCATCGACATATACTATAAGAATAGCTATTTTACCAGAGTCTGCCCTCTTTATAAATAATGTATGGTCTGCTTGACATTGCACGAACCCTTGTTTAATTACTGATCTTGTGAATCTATCAAACCATGCTCTAGGAGACTGCTTTAGTCCATACAAGGACTTTTTCAGTCTGCAAACTTGGCCAGATTTCACCAAGTCTTCTAACCCTGGTGGTACATCCATGAATACTTCCTCTTCTAGGTCTCCATTAAGAAAAGCATTCTTAACATCTAGTTGATGTAATGGCCAGTCTAGGTTCACTGCGAGTGAAAGCAATACTCTAATGGTGTTCAACTTTGCCACTGGTGCAAATGTTTCTGAATAATCAATGCCATAAGTTTGGGTGAACCCCTTAGCAACCAGTCTTGCCTTAAGTCTCTCAATCTTGCCATCAGCCTGATATTTCACTGTAAATACCCACTTGCAGCCAACAGTCCTCTTCCCTGCTGGCAAATCTGTAAGCACCCAAGTTCCATTCTTCTTCAACGCTGCCAGTTCATCATGGACAGCCTTCCTCCACCCTGGATGTTCAAGGGCTTCCTTGATGTTGCTAGGAACCTGAATACTATCAATCTTTGAAATAAAAGTTTGATAGTTTGCTGATAATTTCTTATAACAAAGAAAATTATAGATAGGATGCTTGGTACACTCCCTTACTCCCTTTCTGATAGCAATAGGCAGGTCCTCTTCCTCCTCATCTCCTTCTATAGCCTCAACCTCTTTGTCATCAAGATTTAGATTTGAGTCAGATGATTGGGTGGTGCTAGTTGGAGTGATGTGCTCATCTTCTGGAACTTTGGTTCTAGGTTTCCTCTTGTAGGTATTTTTGTAGAATGTGGAATTTTGATTCAGTGTAAGGTTTTGAGGGGATGAAGGTGGTGGCTGAAGTGGTGAGGTTAATGGAGAGACTGTATTGTCTAGAGGGATTGATTTAGGCTTGTCTGGGATTATGGGTTCAATGTGGTTAAAGTCAGATTCTTGGAGGTCTGGAATAGTGTCTGAAATAGGGTTCAAAGACTGGATTTCATTGTGATTCTCCCCCTGAAATTCAGTTTTGACATAGAAAGGCTGATTTTCAAAAAAGGTTACATCCATTGTGATGTAGACCTTTTTTGTGGTAGGAGAATAACATTTATATCCTTTCTGGTTGGCACCATACCCTATGAACACACAAGGTAAGGATTTGGGATCCAGTTTTGACCTAAGTGGAGAATGGTTGTGAACAAATGCTTTGCAACCAAAGACCTTTGGTGGGAGATTGGTAAGAGGGATGTGAGGGTGTATATTAGATAGGATTTGGTATGGAGTTTTAAACTGATGAATTTTGGAGGGCATCCTATTTATTAGATAAGCTGCAGTTAGGACAGCCTCTCCCCAGTAGTGTTTAGGAGTGTGAGTGGTGAACATAAGGGCTCGAGCAACTTCCAGTAAGTGTCTATTCTTCCTTTCTGCTACCCCATTCTGTTGTGGGGTGTCAACACAGGAGCTAATGTGTATAATCCCCCTTTTTGACAGAAACTCTCCTAAGTTGGATGAGAAATATTCTTTGGCATTATCAGTTTTAAGAACTTGAATCTTGGTTTGAAACTGAGTTTTGATCATAGAATAGAATCTTTGAAAGATACTATTGACTTCTGACTTTTCTTTCATGAGGAAGACCCAGGTTAAACGTGTATGATCATCAATAAACAGAACAAACCACTTTGAACCAGAGAGATTTTTTACCTTGGATGGCCCCCAAACATCACTGTGGATGAGAGAAAATGGTTTTGATGGTTTGTAAGGTAGACTGGGATAATGACTTCTTGTATGTTTAGCAAGTTGACAAAATTCACAATCAAACATAGAACTTTTATTGATGAATAATGAAGGAAATAATTTTTTCAAGTACAAGACATTAGGATGACCAAGACGATAATGCCATAGCTGAATTTGATCATCAAATTGACTTCTACTAAGACTCCCTAAGAATTTATGGTTGAATTGACTCTCACTGGAAGTTGTCTTGTTGGTAGAATTTGGTAAATGTGGTGAATGTTCCAGAAGATAGAGTCCACCACTTTGCTTAGCACTGCCAATCATCCTCCCCGAATCCAAATCCTGAAATTCACACAATTGGGAAGAGAATTTAGTTAGGCAATGGGAATCATTGTTCAGTTTACTGACTGATAAGAGGTTAAACTTTAAATCTGGAACATATAACACATTTTTAAGCACTATCATATCAGAAATTTTGACTCTTCCAATCCCTTTTATTGCTGAAGTAGTTCCATCAGCAATCTTCACAGTCACATTATTCTTCATAGGGATCAAATCAGCAAAAAACTTACTGTCTCCAGTCATATGGTCTGATGCCCCTGAATCAACAATCCAATGGGGCTGACTTTGAGCAACTAGGGTTGTTAAGGCATTACCTGTCTGGGCAGTAAAGCTAGTTGGTGGTGTAGACCCTTTGTTCTGATTTATTAGGTGTTGAAGAACCTCAATCTGCTCATTAGTAAATGCAGCAGAGTTAGAAGTGCCCATATCTTCTTTATCTCCAGTAGCTACATAGGCTCCTTTCCCTTTGCCTGGTTTGAAATCTTTGGGTTTACCATGCAGAATCCAGCATGTTTCTTTAGTATGGCCTGGTTTCTTACAGTGATCACACCATGGCCTCCCCTTTTTTCTTGTTGTCATTCTGTCTGGAAGAAGTATATAAGGCTGAACCTTCAATGCTTGGTTGTTGGCCTTGAGATTTCAGGCCCATCATTACCTTCTTTCTGCTTTCTTCTCTTCTGACTTCTGAGAAAGCTTCTCTAAGGGTGAATTTCTTTCCCATTATTCTCCCCCTAACCTCATCTAGACTCTTGTCCAAGCCTGACAGAAATTTGAAGACTCTCTTCCTCTGACAGATTTCCTGATATAACTTCTTATCCTTAGAACATGACCAGCTATATGTCTCAAACACATCAAGGTGCTGCCAGAGTCTCATAAGGTTGTTAAAGTATTGAGTTACACTCAATTCTCCCTGCTGAAGGTTATATATCATTGATTCAACCTCAAATAATTCAGAAGTGTTATCTGAGGTTGAGTAGGTTTCTTTCACAGCCTCCCAAATCTCTTGAGCTGTTTTGTAGAGTAGAAAATTTTCCCCTATACTGGTTGTCATGGAATTGATGAGCCATGACATCACAGTATAGTTCTCCTTTTTCCACTTCTTGTAACCTGGATCTCTTTGATCCGGAGCAGGTGCATCACCTGTCAAATAGTCCTCCTTGTCTTTTCCACACACGTACATCATAACGGACTGGGACCATTGTAGATAATTACTACCATTGAGTTTATGGCAAGTAATAATCGAATCTGATTGATTAGGGATGGTGACTGTGCTTCCATTGATATTCTGGTTGCTGCCATCTCTAGTTGGGACAGCCTCTGAATGTTCAGAGGTGTCTGAGATAGATCCATCTCTCTCGGTGGTCATCCCATATGATCCAAACTTAATCATATTGAGAATAACCACAGCTCTGATACCATGTAGAAAGAACTCGTGAAAAGTAGAATGTATATTATTATTGTTGTTCTGTGTAATACAAGGAGAAGACTACATAATATATAGCCAGAGAAGAAAGTAAAATAAGGAAGGAAATCAAGGAATCCTTCTAATTAAGGTTCTCTAATAAAGAAAAGATATATGGGGATATTTAGAGATTCTGAGATCTCCAGGATATCTTCCCATAACTCCTCAATCGGGTGATTAATTAGGATAATCTCTGCAATAATCTACAAAACAACATTTCTCAGTTTAATTGGTACAAAAATGAGACAGGGCCAAGCTCTACCCTGACTTCTGGCTTAGCCCGACCCGCAACAAGCTGGTCACGTAACGTGCCCATACCTACCCATGAGTGTGGGCGTATCGTCCATCGGGCAGCCCGGCCTGGAATATTTATGTAAAAAAATAGGTTTTGGTTTTTCTTGGTAAGTTAGTTTTCAATTTATTTTTTCCTTTTTCAAATATTTATTAACTTAATTGAACTGTTAATGAGAAAGAATATTATAAATAATAGGTCATGGTTAAACTTAATGAGTAACTTTAGATTAAAAATAACAGTCAAATCATTATATATCTACACAAACAGACGTATATACATGCATATACTTTTATATATATGGAAGCATCTGGGGTCATTGCAACCTATTCTGGACGGAGAGTTTCTATCATTAGAGGGTAGAGATCTTCCACACCTGGGCAGCAGGGGTATAGCAACATAGGTGTGCCGTTTGCAAAAGCCTGGACAAGAGCTGCTCCATTTTCAAATCTTCCAAGCAGCAGCAAATTTAACTCTCAAGGGAAATTTTTTATTACAATTGAGAGTAAATCATTTACTTTGATTTGGCATCTTCTCTTATCAATATTTGTCAAGTTAAAGATCGTCAATCTTGTTTGATTTCACTAGATAAAGAGGGCATAGATTGGTTGTGCCATTCCTTCTGTAAGATTCTTTGCGGTACATTGTGGTCTTTCACCAGGTACGAGAAGTCCTAGGAACTTCATTTATCTTTTGATAAAAATGATTTTGGATGTTTCATTCATCTAATGGAAATATTACCTCTACTCCATTGGAAATTGACAACTTTATGTTGGGTGTGAAATAAGGAAATTAAAAACTGTGTGGTTGAGGTATGTAGTTATGTACAGAGGAGAAAGAAATAAGTTGAACCACAAATTCATTACTTTAAAAGGAAAGTGGCAGAATTTTGAGCACAAACAAAAAAGGAAAGTTGGCAAACTCCAATGGGAAGGAGCATGGTTGTCGATGGAAAGAATTGGCGTGTGCCATGCGCCATATGGCGACAGAATCCTCCATCGCCATGTGACGACCATACACATGGCGGCGCCATATCGGTGCCATCGCCATGGCATGTGCCATAATATTAAACAGATCGCAACATGTTTACATTGTTATTTTTGGGCTTTGGCCTTGATAAATATTAAAACAATCTGCCCGGCCATAATATTGATATATACATCTAATAAGAAATTAATATTTTAGCCCATTACATTGACAAAAACCATAATAAAAAGTAAATAAAGATACAAATAATGTAAAGTCAGAGAAAGCTATTGAACTAACGTAAAAGCTCGAGTCTGATATCTGCGCAACCGGGAACGACTAAAGGGAACTCCTTCGAGATGATAAGGAGTGTGACAATTGATGATGATTATGGAATAATAATCAAACAAAAACAAATTGACATCTTTTGAAAGACATGAAACTTTTTAGAATATTATGTTTTTTTACTAATGTAAACTATTTTAACTTCACATGTTCTGGTTAGAATGTCAGTATTCAACTTTTTTATATCATGTTTTGGTGGTTGAGTGATAGCATTATAGTGTCTATAGTTCATATTTTTAGTTATTTTCATTTGTTATGTGGTGACGCCATAAATGCGCCTTCGCCATCGCCATGGAAAATGCCTTGGCGCCATGGATGTCGTCATATGCCATGACAACCATGGCGAGGGAGTAAGAAATTGGGGTAGATCAACCATAATTGTTCCGGACGACGGGAAAGATGAGGGTTTTTGACGTTTTAATCTGTTCTACCAAACCAATGGGGGTTTTGAAAGAATTCTTGAAAGGTAATTCGGTAAGTAGTTAGAAGATTTTGGGGGTATGTGTTGGGAGTTAGTGGCACCTTTTTTGAGAACTCGGGGTCTATTTCTTCCAAGCTTTTCAATGAAGATTTACAAAAAATGGATATCTAACTTCTCCTAGAGCGTGAGAAGTGTGTCTAACTCGGGGTCTAAAATACATATTCCGGACCAGTTAACTTGCAAAAATCATTTGACGACCTTCCCGGTTGAATTTTTTGCTGAAATTTGGTATGGATGAACTAGACTTGATGAGGACATACACAAAAAATTTGAGCAAAAATTACTACCGGGAAGGCCCCCAAATGGAGGAGGCTGGACGGGGCTCCTGTCCGGAAATTCCGGACAGGAATATTTGTGTGTGTGTGTGTGTGTGTGTGTGTGTGTGTGTGTGTATATATATATATATATATATATATATATATATATATATATATTGGCCGCTTCCAAATCCCAAGCCCGTACGATATTTTTTGGGTCCCATCAGGTCGGCAAATATGTAGCCCACCCCACCCTATTCTGTGTCCGCTTTTGTCCAATCTGCTCCCAGTTAGCTACTGAAAGAGCTGTTTTTTCCAGCCACGTGAGTACACATATCGGACAGCCTTTGTCTTCCACCTTTGGTAAGACGTCATTGGCGGCAAAGAAGATGAGAGGAGGCAGCAATGCAGCATGTGGCCTGGACATGAATTTATGAATGACACGAGGGGATTTTACTACACACAACTCAAGAAGTTTGAGAAGACAAACTCCTCAACATGTGCCTATTGTGCCATTGACACTTCCCAGTGTTTATCTTCATTATTAGGATGGTATATACTGCAATCAGAAATCTGTATATTATTCAAATATAAAATTTAAGTTGTCAATGCTAAACCTAGAATCATAGCACGGTGGATGAAATGGAAGAATGCATCAAGATTTCTATGTGATCGCGGTATGCCGACTAGACTAAAGGATAAATTTTATCGGACATCAATTAGGCCCGCATTAATGTATGGCGTAGAGTGTTGGGTGGTGAAACAATGTCACATTCAAAAGATGAGTGTGGCAGAGATGTATATGTTGCGTTGGATGTGTTGACATACCAAAAAAAACCGTTTGAGGAATGAGATAATCAGACAAAAGGTGGGAGTTGCACCTATAGAATATAAGATGCATGAGTCTCGAGTGCGGTGGTTTGGTCATGTGCGCAGAAGGCCGAGTGATGCACCTATTAAACGACTTCAGAGGTGGGCAGAAGAGGCAAGGAAGAGAGGGAGAGGAAGAGCCAAACAGACTTGGATTAGAGGAATCAGAACTCATATACTACTTATTGGATTGGATGAGAGTATGGTTTTGGAAAGAGCAAAGTGGAGGGTGCATATTTGTGTGGACGATTGATCTCTTTTCTCTCTCTCTTTCTTTTATCTTTTATCTTCTTTATGTTTCTATGTTCTTATGTTATTTTTATCTTTTATCTTTCTTATGTTCTTTTATCTTTTATCTTTCTTATGTTCTTATGTAATTTTTATCTTATATTTATCTTTATCTTATCAATTTTATCTTACTTTATCTTTTTATTTTTCTTATCTTTCTTCACTTTTTGGCTCTAATATCATGGATCGATTCATGTTAGCCAACCCAAAAATCTTTTGGGAATAAGGCTTGGATGTTAATGTTGTTGTTTTTGTCAATGCTCAACCTACTGCGGCTTGTGGACCAGAAGCCCTGGTTCAGTGGTTCTACTAGCTAGAGCAGATAATATCTTTTGTTATTCGCGGAGTAACACACAAAGAATAAAATATGCAAACTAAAACATTGCGGTAATCTATGATGAATAAATAAATGTAAGCCATCATGTAATCATATGTTATCATTAAATCACTCATAAAACTTGAAATGTAACAACACATGGGAGCCAAAAGGCATTCTAGAATGTTGGAAAATATATACCTATAAGAAGATGTATAAAGAGAAAAACATACGATAGAACATACAGGGTCTACCTTTTCAAGTATGTGTAACAGGCGAGTCTTGAATTGCCTAACACCACGTCCATTTGAATTCGGATCCAAACTATGAGCCTTCTCAAATGCATGATATCGGCCTTTTCAAAAATAAAAATTCCGTTAAAGAAGAGCACAATTATCCGTCATAAGAAGTGAAAGTCACAAGTTTTACAATCACACACATTTTAAAAAAACTAAACTGCAGAATAAGTTAAAGTAGCAATTACTCCATACGCCATCCATTCTCATTCCTGTTCCCCAATTTATGCATGTTTTTCACACAAAAATTATTTCCAAACTATTTCCATTTCAGAAACTACAGATCAAAATTTCAGAACGACAGTCGAAATCTATGTAACTTTTTTAAAATTAAGCAACCCAATTTGAATGAATCCCATGCAGTATTAATAACAGTGCAAAATTTATATCAAGCTCTACATCTTTCATAGTGCCACCAAGTTTAAGGCAAAAAGAAGCCTTTGCACAATCGGCTTTTTCTGATCATGAAAAGCTGGTCAAAACCAATGAATTGGAATGAGGTGCAATTGGAAAAAGGTGCCCGATTAGGTGAATTGCTTAGAAATTCCCATTAACTCGTGATGCTGAATAAATGGTTTTTTCACTCATTAGAACTTGGTCATGTCAGGGAGCATAAAGAAGCTAAAAGAGCACACAACATTTTATAGCAATGATGGCCTCCATTGAAGTTAGGTATTAGGCCTGCAGGCACCAGCTTCACATCTTCACAGCATAATCCTTTAATCAGGACCTCCATTGTTTTTTCCCAAAAATACTAAATAGGACATATTCACTTCCTTTTATTCTTCTCTTAAGACTAAATAGTTCATAATTTAGAGATAAAATATAATAAGCCCTTGTTTGTGAACTTGTTTTACTCCTATTATTATTGGCAGTTTTTAAAAGGGGGGAAAGTTATAACCGTTCATTTGAGCACTAGAAGTACAAATAAGGGCATTGATGGAAAAAATGGGAGGGAAAAGCTGTACTTACAATAATAAGCAATTAGACGATCTTTTTCCTCCATTTCATCCGCCACGCGGAGGAAGGGAGAAATGGATTCGAGCGTGTGGGGGACTTTCTCACTAATGGAGGAGCTGTCGTCTTCTCCTACAGCTGGATCCAGCATAGTGCCTGCCCTATTCAACCTTCGGGAACCCATACCCGACTTAGTACCACTGGTACTGGCCATGACTTGAGATTGAGAAACACCAGCAGAAATAACAATATACGACCCCACCAATTATATCCCCTCTTCTTCTGCTTCGAATCCAGAGAATCTGATTGATGAAGAAGAAGAAGAACAAAGGGCAAATGCACATCGGCGGCATCACGGATCAAGTGCTTGTATATATACGGAAGAGGGCAGTGGAGAATATACTTTGGAGAGGTTCGAGGCAAGTGAGCGGGGAGCTTTATTAGGTTTTGGTTTCTCATCTAGCAAGTAAAGAATTGGATGTGAGGATACACCGCCTTTAATTCAAAATAGCTTCAATGCCCGCTCGAGATTTTGGTTTCTTCGTCTGACAAATTGTCTCTTTCAAATGTCTTTCTTCTTCTCCTTTTCGGAAAGAGGGAGAGATGGCTTGTTCGGCAAATAAAGCCCTCATCGTCATCGAGATTTGTTTGCTTTTTCAGCAAAGAGAGAAGGGGAAAAGCGCACTTTACTTTGGTTTTGCTTCTTCCTTCGGCCTCGCCTCGGGAGGAACGCAAGCCCCTCTAAGATAGGGTGGCGAAAGCCTCTGTGAGCCACCGCAGCACCGCACTGAGCTAAAAATGTCAGGTGGGAGAGGAAAGAATATTCCTGTAACGGTTTGTATTTCAGTTTAACGGGTTAAGGGAGTGTTTGCAATCACTTAAAAAAAAGAAAAAAGCACTTATTTACCAAACACTACCCATTTTTACTTTTTCTCGGCTTGCGTGTGAAAAGTTTTTTTCCCCTTTTTATTACACAAAAAGCACTTATTTTACCAAAAACTATCAACTTTTACTTTTCAAAATCACTTTTTTCTCAAACACTATCAACTTTTCTTACTAATCACTTTTTCCTTACATCTCCAAAAGTGCTTTTTTTAAGCAGAAGCAGTTGCAAACACTCCCTAAATAGTGTTAGTTTGGTTGAGAAATGAAAAGGATTCAATGATTTATCTCTCTATATATAATGATAATATGGAGAAAATTTAAATACAAATTCATATGGAATAGAAAAAAAAAAAGTTTAAATTTGTTGCTCTATAATTACTCTACACTTACTCTATAATTAATAACAATCAAGGTTTAATTATTAATCTATTTATTTCTTTTAGGTTACAAATAAACATTAGAAAATTAAGAGTAAATAAATAAATACAATAGTCACAATACATGTAAATAAAATAATTGAAAAAAACGTACAATTATAAATATAAAATGCAGAATTAGTTAACAAACTATAGGTTAGAAACATGAAATGTTTTAATTTCATAATATAAAAAATGTAGAGTATTCCATTACTTTAAAAGTATTAATAGAAATAAAAAATGAATATATTACAAGTATGTGATTTTTATTAAAAAAAAATTGTATGCAAAATTTTGATAGGGTAATTGTTAAAAATGTCTTTCTAAGTAAAAATATTATATAACCCACACACATGCATAAGTTTAAACGAGTAAAATATAATTTTTTGTCTTCTTTAGTAACATTTCATTAATAATGTTAATACCATCATTAATTAATACATTGTATATCATTTTTTATGTTTATAAAATATGTACATATATTAACATTACTAATGAAATGAATTGTATTGTTTTAACAAATAAATTTGAACCTGTTTGATAATATTGAAATTGGTGAAATACTGGCTAGCTGAAATGGTAGAATTTTATGAATTATGAAGAAGAAGTAAATTTATTTTATTAATTATATAAAGATATTAAGTAAACGAAGATAAACCAGAGCATGTTTAGCAATACTGATTGGTGAAACAATGGTTGAGTGGTTGAGTCTCCCGAATTATGAAAACAAAATTAAAACATACGCCATTTTTTATTAATAAAAAAAATACATGAAAATAATTAAACTCTTAAGCAAAACTAATCAATTAGTCATAAAAGTAAATTCAATATCACTTATTTTTATTATAACATCATTCCGCGTCTGAAACCAAAAATCATGTATTTAATAAAAATAATTGAAAATTTGATAAGATGAAGACACAACTTACCGATGTTAACTTTATCTGTCATCCATGAAAAGCACTGGTTGATTGACTAGTAGTAAATATATTAAATAGATATGTGGATGATTATCTCTGAATATTATTATTTTTTATAAATTTCCCACTACGTATTTTTTATATCAATTCATGACTTAGATAAATAAACTATCAATCTAAGATCTGAAAGATGCAATTTGCCGACGTAGGACCCAAATGATTGGAAATTATTAATATAAGACCTTAATCGTCAATCTTAGATAAATTATTAAAATTGTCAATCATTTGGGTCTTATACCAACATGTTTCATCTTTCAAGTTTGGGATTGATATATGGTTAATTTATCTATTCTTTAGGTCTTGAATTGATAGAGTTCCTATTTTTATATGAGATTTTCTAAATGAATTTACCAAGAATTGATCAAGTCCTATTTATTAATTAAAAAAAAAAAGATCAAGCCCTATTTATAGTAGTTGGAGTTGGGGATGAACCATATATATGGAATGATTCTACATATTTTGTTGGTAAAACTAACTTTGATTATCTGTCTATATAGATTACAAGGATTAGAAATAGATAGCTGCCCTGATTACAAGGAAAAACAATTCATACTTATAATTTCCAAAGTTTTACAACATTCCTCTTGAATGCTCACCCTTGAATAGTATATCGTTAACTTAAAATTTATAATGAATAAATGAGTGTGAAAAAACAAAATTAGGGGAGTGCGACGTATAATGTCATGGTATTTAGATATATTATCTTGTTAAAAACCTTAACAAGAAAAATCAAGTGGACTAAAAATCTAATGAAGGAAAAAAAAAAGTGTAGTATATTTGAATATTCACCTTGAATATTAGAAGTAACGTGTATCTGTTTTATGTACATGTTCTATACATTCATTCATATAACATAATCCTTGTTATAGATATATGGCTATACTTGAACTTTGCCATGAAGTATATAGTTATAATTGATCATAAGCGATGTGTGCCTATTTATGTACATATATTCAATAAATTCATATATGATAGTAACATGCAAGGACTAATCAAGTGTTATACCTGCAATATTGTCTTAACATATCACATTATAAAGACAAGGTCGTTATTTCATACCAGATTCATTCTGGACGTGTTGAGTCATAGATCATAGTCGCACACATTCTCTTCTGGTATCATATAGGGCAGTTAACTCAGTATGATTTCATGATATAGCTAGCTGTCAATATCTGCTTCATAGATCTCCATGAGATTGTGGTGTTATTGTAAGTTAATATGTACCCTAGCTTTTGTGATTTTGCCTTTTGTCGATGTGATAGGTATACAACATATGCATATCCGACTAAGGTGGCTTTTGAATCTTTGTGATAAAATAAGTCAATATCAATTGTGTCACAAAGATAACACAATATGTGTTTGATTATGTTCCACCGACACCTTCATTATCTTCCTTATCGAAACCATCATTGGTGAAATCAAAGATTGAGCTTTGTCCATGTTGAATCTTTTCAAAACTTTCTTAGTGTAATTTAACTTATGGGTGAAATTTTTATTCTTCAAATGCTCAATTTGAAGTTCGAGACAAAATTTAGTTCTCCCGTAGTTTTTCATCTCAAATTCTCTCATGAGACATCTTATAGTAGTCTATTTCATCGGGAATTCCAATAATGTTTAAGTCGTCAACGTATACTACAATTATGGAGAATCCTGAATCTGATCACCAAATTAAAACACATGAACTAATTAATTGGGGCACTTTTTTTTTTTTGAAATAAACACAACCATATATTAATCATGAATATCCTTCAGAAGAAGGTCACAAATACAAATAGGCGGTATATCAAACCAAAGACAATCAGGCTCAGAAATAGCTTGCTTAGCCAAAGCATCATCAACTCTAATATCATGTTGCTTGTTGATTGACTCATTAATTGGGGCACTTTTATATCCTTGATTCACATAGATGATTATACCACATCATCCATATTGTTTTAGTCCATACAATGACTTTTGCAATTATATGGAAAACATGTCTCGAGGTTTCGAGCTATATGCTTCGTGCAATTTAAATCAACCAAGAACTTTCACACAAATGTCTATATCGAATGATCCATATAAATATATTGCCAATACATTCATTACATTCATTAGACACATTTGCAGCCTTAAAAATACACATATCAATGAAAAATCTTAATGTCGTTGTGATAAGTCCGTATTTAGACACGCATTTGATGCGTGTTCGGGTTGGATTTTGATGATTTTCCTAGCTTTAAGGCGTTGCAAGTCTCAATTTTGGCTCAAGTTGTGTTTAGCAGGCGTTGGATCGAGTTTCATTGCATTTGGAGTTGATTTGAAGAAGTTAGAGTCCGGCAATCGGCGCTTGAGAGGCATTCGGGAAGGATTTGAAGGCATTCGAGAAAGATTTGGAAGATTTGGAGGCCACCGGGAGATTCGTGACGAAATTCTGGTAAAGAAAGAGCATTTGGATCGACCTCGTAGGCATCCGGGAGCATTCGGAGCAAGAAAACGAAGGAAAAGTGAAAAATAGGGTCAGGCACGCCGTGCCTGGAAGCTAGGCACGCCGTGCCTGAAGCGTAAAATTCCCTGGGAGCTACTGGAGGCCAGGCACGGTCGTGCCTGGCAGCTAGGCACGCCGTGCCTGGCAGATTTCGCGGAACTGGGCTACTGGAGGCCAGGCACGGTCGTGCCTGGAGGCTAGGCACGCCGTGCCTGGACGCGAAATCCGGCCTCCTTCCGTAGGCACGGTCGCAGGCACGGTCGTGCCTGGCACCGTGCCTGGCCGCGATTGATCCTAATTCGACCCGAATTCGTTGTTTTCTATAAATAAGGTCTCCATTACCCCGTTTTTGGGGGTTACGAACATTACGGAGAGGCCTAGGGACGAATTTAACACCGTTTTTACGCTATTTTCTTTCAAGACCCTGGGATTATTTGTAAGTTCATCTTTTTAATTAATGACAATTATTTCTATTCATCCCAATTCTGTTGATTCTTCAATTATGAATTGTGAGTAGTTTAATTAGGGATTTGGGGTTGATGAAGGGGTTAATCATGATGTATGGCTAGATTCTTTTCGGTTTAATTGCATGAATGCCGTTTAATTTGTGTTTGAATAATTTAATTGATATCTCTTGTAACCTAGACTGCAGCTAGAATTACAATTGCATGTAGAATGAATTAAGAGAGATCTAATTTGTTCTAGGACACATTCACACACACTTAATCGTTCGCTAAGAGATTAGTAGCGATTAAGGGGCCGTAAGCTCGCTCGTCTTGGCAATAATTTAGGATCCTGTCGCATGAGAGATCAGCCTGGTCCCCTAAATTATTGTACTCTACGCCGCGAGAGCGGTAAGAACTTAGTAATGATTAGCTAGGCTCAATTAAATTAAATTCATGTAATTAGGCCTGATCTGTCAGAAATATGGTTAACCCCGGAATCGATTCCTGTTCCCTTCGTCGTTAATTAAGAAGAAACTAGCATTTATTTTATTCGCTCATTCGCATTAGTTTAGTTTAATTTTAATTCAACAATCAATCTCGCACATCGCATTTTTATTTATTTTATTTCTCTTTAATCGCTAAATTTAGTTAATCTTTAATTCCCTTTTGTCCGTCCCTGTGGAGACGATACTCGTACTTTCAACCACTATTCTACAATCTATTTTAAGTGCGAGAAAACACACATCAGTTTTTGGCGCCGTTGCCGGGGGCGGTGTCGGATTTAAGGGTTAATTAATTTTAGCGACTTGTTTTTAGTTTTTCGTAGGATTTTTCTGTCTGCTAACCTTGCAGGTCAGATCTGTTTATGCATACACGTTCAAAGAAGGGAGAATCACTTGTCCCTCTTAATCCTGAGATTGAGAAGTTTGCTAGACAGAACCGCAAGGTTTTTCTTGAGAAGAACGCAACCATGGAACCTACATCATCTGGAATTGCTGGGACGTCTGAGGTCCA